AAGAAAATCTCGCAGCAAAAAAAGCGATTCTTAGATGTGACAACTAAGCCGACAACAGATAAGCAGACAAATAATTAGCCGACAATTTTATTTGAAACAGAATATTTCCCGTTTGAAAAAAAGCAGGTCCTAGTCAGATTCAAACCCAGGCCCTTTACAGGCCAATTCATATTCGTTTTCTTCAGACTAAGTTGGCTGAGAAAGCATAGAAGTTCGCCTTTATAATGAACCAAGATACAAGGGATTCTATTAAAGTTGTTAACCGAAAAAAGTCTATACTCCAGTTTGATGACGCTTGCTAATCGCAAGCGTAATAATTAACTCGTGAATGCTGCACTTTATTTTTATTTTGCAAAATAAATTATGCAAAATTGTGTAATAATATCCGCTCCAGGAGATTAAAAAGATTAAGATAATGATTGAGATGAAATAGTGATTGAGATCATAGTGACTAACTCTAGTTTTGTCCTCTGAAATGGCCTCTTCTGTCTTGTCCCTCAAATGGGGCATCCAAGGGGGATCCACTACTGGGATGGAGGTGGGAGGGGTTCCGAACTGGGGCGAGGGCTGGGTGAAGTCGATGGAGGGAGGGGGCACTTTGATTGTGTGCACTGCCGCATCCTCCAGCTGTGGCCACACCTGGTATCTATATCGCCAGAGAACTCCAAATCTACAGAAAAAAAACAACCGTGGACTGGAGATTCGAAAACATCCCAAACAGTGAGCTTGTACTCGTCTCAAATTAAATTCGCGAACAATTTCAGGCTTACTTAGATTCGAAAACATCCCAAACAGTGAGCTTGTACTCGTCTCAAATTAAATTCGCGAACAATTTCAGGCTTACTTAGATTCGAAAACATCCCAAACAGTGAGCTTGTACTCGTCTCAAATTAAATTCGCGAACAATTTCAGGCTTACTTAGATTCGAAAACATCCCAAACAGTGAGCTTGTACTCGTCTCAAATTAAATTCGCGAACAATTTCAGGCTTACTTAGATTCGAAAACATCCCAAACAGTGAGCTTGTACTCGTCTCAAATTAAATTCGCGAACAATTCAGGCTTAGCTGAGTAAGTCAATTTACCATTCTTTGCTGAAATTTCCAACATAGCTCGGTATTTCTAACATGCTGAATATTCTCTATTCATGCGAACTACAGCGTTTGAAAATCTTGCTGGTTGTTCTTGCTTGTTTACCTGAGCAATGTTTGGATTCTGATGGAAGCATCTTCACTCCCCAACTGAGACTTGAGCAGATCGAACACTGCATCGTGGCTTTTCACTCCAGATATCAAGAACAGCGCAGCTGAAGCAAATTATTTACCTTTATCATTAAGCTGATAAAAAGATTACGCCATTTTAAGGGAAAAATCTTCAATTCATCTTTAAGTTTGGATAGATTTTGCAGCAATAGCACTTAAAGCGAACCAGCGGAAGATGCAAGTTGGAGATTGGAATCCATGAGGAGTTGCCATGAAGCAGGTATGATCTGGAAGTAGATCTGGCGCGGGAGGAATGCCGCAGTCTTGCACATGACTACAAACGGCAGATGCATCAAACTGTGAGCCTGTTTCTTCAGGAACCCAGTCATCAAAGTGTTCTCCTCCACTAAATTTTCTGCATTCTTCACTTTGTCCGATTCCTCGTTTCCAAGTGAGTTCATGACGACGTTGTGGGTTCCCAAGTCGTTTACAGTGACCACGACATTATCTCCCTGACCGCTGCTATGTCGCTCGTGGTGTGTGGATCCAAGTGAGGTCTTGAAAGCCCCTCCGACGAATGTTCCTGCGCCGAATGAGGCGGAAGCGGAGGCGGAAGAGGGATGTCGACGGAATGGCATAGTGCTGCTTGAATAGCTCTGCCAGAGAAAAAACAAGTTATACGCAAACGAAAACTCAAATCTGATATCGATAAAGCGTTGAACACTTGAAAACTTAAATATTCAAAAACGACATTAATTCAAATAAATAAGCATACTAAATTTGGATCCGAGCACACTAAAAGCGAAAACCAAATATGAAAAACGGCGCCCATTTGACTCATATTTTTGAGTTTTCAAAAATCTCAAAGGGGGACAAAATGCAATTATTCTCATTTACAGATAATTATTTACCTCTTTGGCTGTTCTGTCAGAGGGAGCGGCGGTGGAACTAGCTAGAGACATCATACGGGAGAAAAGTGTCTCCAAATTGACACTGGTGGGTTCCCCATACACCCTCCTCAGTGCATCCACCAGTCTCTGGCAGCTGCGACTTCTCCTCTGGTAGCAGTGCAAGTGGCAGAATGCCTGGTGATTGCACTCGAAGTTGCACCCATTCACCAACTTCACAATCACCTACAACCAGCAATTATATAACACATTTTCTCGTCAAGCATTCGAATTTTAAAATATTTGAACATTTTAAAATATTTGAACTTTCGATAAATATTATAAAATTGTAAAATGTGGAGCTTTTTTTAAAAAAAAACTGCCACCACCCATGGTTTTTCTTTTCTATCTTGGGTCTCTCTTCCGTGGGGTAGATAGATTTCGCCGTCGCTGGTCCCACCTTGAGCAGGCAGATGACACTAGGACACCTCCAAATGTAACCGAAGTGGGATCCAAACCCACGAAAATCGTATTAAAGGCCGCAATGTGGCGCATCCAATAGCGATGGTATCCAGCACTTATATTATTGCGGGCTTAAATCACCGTGTGCTCAATTTGCAAAAAGATAGCTTGCGAGATGCCATAGTTTAATGGCTTCATCATCATTAAGTGAGATCTGGCTCTTTTCCACTCTACTTTCCCACCCACTCATTTCGAATTTTTCATTTTATAAGTTGTCTTACGCTTTATTACGGCTGAATGCGTGATGTTACTAAGTAAAGTATTCAGAGTAAATCTGTTTGTTCATCCTCCAAAATTTCACCGTTACAATAAGACAGCGTCAAAACCGTTTTTCAATGCTGCAACTCAAATCTAGAAAAGAGCCTGAAGGGAATCTGGAAAAGAGCCTGAGCTCTAGTTCAGCGTTAACTAATTAACCTTTCAATTAGGCGTCCAAACTGGGACCAAAAATTGTCACAACTTTAGATCAAAACTTATTGCTCACTATTATCGTTCAGCATCTTTATATGAGAGCCATTACAAACAAAAAAGGTTCTGCAAAAAATATGAAAAAACCTAGAAACGCAACGACAAGTTTAAAATAGTTTCTTGAAAAAACTTTCAAAACTAAAAAAATATACCTGACTCAGTAGCTGATTTAGGCGGGGGGCGAACGCCCCCCCCCCCTCCTCAGGGATTTGACCCCCTGCCGACTTAAAGGGTCCCCCCTTTGTACTATTTTGAGATATCCATTTTTGGTGATGGACCCTAAAAATTTTTTAAAGGCGCCCTTGGCGCCAATATATACTAGTTTTGCAGGGGGAGGGCGCGCCGAAAAAACGCGATTTTTTAGTCAAAATTTTCCAAAAAGTGCCTAAAAACGCCTTTTTTGGCCTGTTTTTTCAAAATTTTGCCTGCGGCGCAGAAAATTTTGCCAAAATAGGGGCAAAGCAGTGCTATGGGAGAGCTCGAAAAATCAATTTGGTCGACCTAAAAAAAAAGGTCGACAAAATTTTCGAAAGTTTTTTGAAAATCTGCCCCCCCCCTCGAGAAAATCCTAGATCCGCCCCTAACCTGACTTGCATGTGCAAATTGAGCATCAAGAGAAATTTCAGGAAAATTTTGAGAAACGATGGAAATTTTAACATTGAAAAATACTGACCCCGACCCAGGGCACAGTTTTTGAGAAATCGTAGTCCAGCTCGGCATCCTTGGTCTCCTCTGAGGATATCTGACTGGTGGAGTCCCCATCCTCCTCCCCTCCCCCTGAACTGCGAGATCCCCGGTGCACATTGCCAACTGGGGAGGAGCCTCCAGTCTGCTGGCTGATGAGATTGTTTTGGTAGATGGAGCCAGAGCGACGTCTTCCTACGACAAAGAAATACTTTCAGGAAATATCAATTTGCCATCAATTTCATTACCCGCTGGTTCGAGTTGAGAAAAAGGTAAGCCGGTTACTAGACAAGTAGTACAGAATGTTCCGACCATAGCCTTTAAGAAATTACAAGAAAAAAAGTTACTCCACATTAATTTATACCGTACATTTTAATAACTGGTCATTTTACAGCTAAACAATTTAAATCCACATCAATTTAACTCCTATTTTATAACTTAACACCAAAATTAATGCTGTATGAACTCCTTATCTCAAATCCTATCACACCAAAGTTATTCCTGCAAATAGAGCACGCACCACTTTGAAAAACTTGGTTTATCTCAATTATACAAGCTAAAATGAGGCTTCTTAATTTACTTAGGACCCTTATTGACGACAAATTCGTAAATTATTTTCAATTAGATAATTCACTGAGCCAATGTGATACTATGAAACCTGCTTGTGCTAATTCATAAAAATTCGATGTACTATTTCTGACAAAAACAAAACTCTGACAGACATTTTATGCTGTACTCAATGATAAACAAACGCAAATACCAAAAAACATTGTGATTGAGTCTTCTTTCGACTTCACAGTTTCATCTACAAACAAGCCAATTCTTATAGCGTCCGGCCACGAATTTTATTTCAAGCGAATAAGTATGTTTACTGAAAATTGAATTTACTCAATCTACCAAACACATAAAGATCGAGCATCTACCATTACATCAAATAACGAACGGATCGAGACGCGTGGAGAGCATAACCATGACATTTCAGCGGGAAAATCAGATGCCCCAAAAATCATCAAGCATTTAAAAGATCTCAGCGAGAGTTAAACACCGAATGTCGAAGTAACCAGTGCGGTTTTGCCATTAACAACGATTTGGTCACTCAATTTGCCCTCCCAATTACAGATAAACTGATTCGAACGGCTGCACGCTCACGTAATTAGCTAGATGTAAATATGCCACCCATTCCCGTAGCGCGAACTTTCGAGATCCCTGAAACTTTTGAAAATTTTATCCGGTATGACAGTGGATCAAATGATCACGAGCGAATCAATATGAGCGGTGACCTCGAAATGCTATGAGTTCTGAAAAAATCATCTTTTTGGTTAGCCGATGAAACTTTTAAAAATACTCTATTTAAACTATATGGAAAATAGTGGGCAGCCTGCAAAAAGACGCCTCCGTACAAAAATTCAACTTTATCGATGCATCGAGTAGCCATAACTCACTAAAAGAAAAATTACTGTGTATTAAATGAAAGAGTGCAAAACATAAATTCCGGTTACGCAGAAAAATCTGCTTTTTTTAGAAAGTTAAGTAATTTGTTAAATTTTGCCTTACTTTTGTTTATTCACGCGTATCACGAAGACTCAAATTTTAATCCTATTTAAAATTGTGTCAGGTTTTCTTGAAAAGACGTTTTCTTGCAGACTCCCGGAAAACGTAACTAAGCGCAAGATCTCGACTAGTGCACTAGCAATTTAACCCCAGGACAATCGCTCTTAATTTCGGAAAGCTAGGTTGGGACTAGGGGCCAGGAAACCCTTTAGTTTTGCTTTTTTGTACCAACATTTCAAAAAAAGCTGAACAAAGCGATCAAGTTATAAGTTTAAGTCCGGGAACGATTCTAAAATTGAATGAATTTTAGCTTTTTGATTTTGGTTAAAACTGTTTTAAATTTCTGTACCGGCTGGAAATGTCTGGAAAATTAGTTCAATTTAGCCAAAGAGCGTCTAATTATTTCCGGGCCCTTAAAGTTCATTGAACGATTGCTTGTTTTTGTTTCTAACAATCATAATTATTGGCAAGGTCATTTCTGTTCAAAATTTTCTGTTCAGGACTGTTTACTGAAGTCCCCTTTGATGTACGTTCTCTTTTCATTTTGGATTAAAACGATGTTAAGTTATAGAGCTAATTTCAAAATGTAGTGATTTTAAATTGCGAAGGCAACAAAAAGTAGAGAGTAAAATTGTATGGTTTAAGTTGTTTAAAGTTAAAAAAAAACAAAAACCAATAAAAAGATCTGGCGTGCAATTTTTATTTAGGCATATTCACATTCATACTAATATAGGCAAACAGGAAAACAGATTTGAAGACAAATGACCAGAAAAACAAAAAAAAATCAATTTTTTTTTTCAAACTTTTTTTGATTTTTTGAACTTATTGGTACCCAAAATGGCATTAAAAATCTTCAAAACAGATTTTATTTTATTAAAATCAATTTCAAGCATAAATAAGCTATTGTAAACGGCCTAAATTAAGCATAAATAAGCTTGATCGCTCGCTTTACGCGCTCGAATTTAGACGAAAAATAAGTAATATCAAACCGATTTTGAAAACTTTTTGCAACTTTTAATGTCGTCTAAAGCCCGACTGAAAAAATTTCAAAATGATATATCCCTCAACTCTCTCCAATGATTATTTGTGGTAGCTGATTTTAAAAGGAAACCAAAAAAAAAGAAAAAAGAAAACTAAAACACACCCGAATGGTCGGAACAAAAAGCGTGCACAAAAGTTGCCTTTCATCAATTCGAGATGTGGTGCAAAAGGAGCCACAAAATAGAAAAAAATCAACATTTCATACTCAGCAAATCAAAATACAGTCCGCCTGATATCACGAGATCCATTGTCGCAATGATTCAAGATACCATAAACTTCCGTTTCCTGGCACTAGACTTTACTGTATTGTAAAATAAGTACAAAATTTATGCAGTGGGATTGAAAAAAGTCTGCATGAAAGCAAACGTTTGAAAGTGTTGGTAAGTAAAATGTTGGTTTGAAAAACTTTTCTGCTTCGAGTCTGGCAGGACTCGAACCTGCACTCTTCTGATTCGTAGTCAGACGCGTTATCCATTGCGCCACAGACCCATGATTCCATAGCAGCAGTCAAATAAATTGAAAAAAAAACTTTCTATTTTTCCCATGGTTTCTTTGAAATAGTTAAATCATGTATAGCGGTGTTTTTACTTTCAAAAACTGAAATCTTCATAATTTGTTCTTCCGATCAATGAGTAAAGACATGACTCTAACCGTGTCTAAAGCTACCCTGTGCGCCCGTGTGTCTCCTCAGCAGTCGGGTCCCATCTGTGACTGTGGGGGTCTTCCGAGTGGCCGCACTGATCTTCCGACTGCGCAGCACAGAATTCATGCCCGAGGGAGCAGCTGCAAAAACATCAAAATTGTTGAACAGCTGTAACCTTTTCAAAAATCAGGTTCCATTTTGAAATAAAAATTTATAAATTTTTTCGGCCAACCGCTATAATTGCAATCACGACGAACACCAAACTATTTAATAATACAATGAACAATGAAATAATATTTTCACTAGTGCCGACTATGCTTATCTTGCTCAGTAGCACATTTGCTTATTGAAACTTTCTCAACATTTTCAAGCTATACAAACTAAACAGCCGACCCTCACCCGATCTCTCATTGGCTGAGCCCGATTGAGACATGGCTCCCCCCGCTCTGGACTCACTGCCACTGATGATACTGTGGCTACTCAGACTGTTACTGTCCTCATCCTCTACCGCAAAACTGATCTTCCTCTCCCCCAGAGCACCCGAATCCAGGGTAGTCATACTACTGTCGTCCTTCGAGGAGCCCCGACGCAGCTGGTCCCCAGTTGTCAAGGTAACGTCCGAGTCGGTGTCGCGCCGTTGCTGGTTGCTACTGCCGCCTCGTGTGCCGGCACGTGCTCTTCCCTTGGGTAGATTGGGGTATACTTCTCGCATGAAGATCGTGATTTCAGTCAGTAGAAGACAAGCCATCATTTTTAAAGCATATGGACACCTTTCGCCGGTTGGGTTGAGAAGCACTTGAAACGCAAAAACTGATTTCAAAACAACCAAAAAACAAATGCGACACAGATCAAAAAACAAATAAATTATACGGCTCTGCAGTTAATTGTCAATCATCCTTCTCTTTGTTTTTACATTTTACACTATCTTAAGGTTTTCCAGACACTTGGACACTGAACTTACAGTCCTGCAGGAAGTTCTCGTTGTCGTCCTCCCTCCTCAGATCTAGTCTGGTGGCCTCATCCGGGATGAACTGGTTGTAGAGGGGGTTGGACTTCACTGCAGCTGCTTCTGCGGTGATCAACTCATTCAGCTTGTGAGCCAGTGCCTGCAAACGAGCATACAAATAAATAAGAAGGCAAATGTGAGCTTGAAATTTGAATCATGCATAAACTTAAAGCAAAAATAATGCATAGACTTATTGATCACAGTATAACAAACTCCGTTCGGATTAACCCAATTTTATTTAGATATCTTGCGAGAGGATTTAATGTTTTGACTTGAAGAATAAATGGCCTTTATAGTTCACTAACCTCTCCCCACAGGAAGAACAGTTTAGTAGCGTTGAGGTAGTAGTCGAACACTCTCCCTTGTGATGTGTTGGAGCTACTAGATGCCTCGTTGTTCCTCCTCCCCGAGAACCCCCGTCTCAAAGGAAGTCCCCCGCTGTTACCGGGACGGAGCCACTCGGGCCACTCGCCCTTAGAACAGCGATGCACGAAGTTGGAACACTCGGCGAACAGAGCTGCACGCGCCACCACTGGCGATTTCTAGAGAAAGAAGTAAGTTTTTGTAATTGTATTTCAACTATTAAAATTGCTTACAGAAATCATTAATGCAGAATTATTGCATCAAAATCATGACAATAAAATTGGGGGTTTGATTTGGATTTCTAAAATCTCAACCATGAGGAATATATTTTGCGACTCACCAAATGTAGCGCAGATGCAACGAATGCGGCATCAGGTATGTTGCCAGGATGACAACAATCCATCAGAAAGGACAGTCTCTTCATGCCCGCATGTATGGCCACCCAGTCCACTGCCTTCATCACAGGCACCACCTGTCTCTCCCTGCCAGACACCGGGTGTCCATAGGAGTCAGTGCCCAGCTGGGATTTGCCAAAGAAGGAACTGCCTCCCAGGTTGTCACAAGAGTTGGCATCGAAATCGTCCACTGCGAACGATTAGAATTTTAGCGAATATAACAAGTGTTTGCAGCGAGACTATAAACCAGGATTTCAAAGCATAAAAAAGATCTTTCTTACTATTTCCCCTATTTTTAAGGATAGATTTGATACAAAGTACAAAATCCGTATATGCTCAACCATTGATTTAGTTATCTAGGTGTGGTTATTCTTTACTAGGAAACGCAAGGGGAGGGAAATAGTATGGCTTTTCAGGTTTTTGATTCCACCATTATTTCTGCGAGGCACAAACTTTACTAACAACAGTTTCTAAAGATTAGTAAAAAACAGAATAGGAAAGACTCACTGTCTCGTGAGTCCTCCTTCTCCGAGTCATTGTTGGAGAAGGCGTCTCTCTTCAGTTTGTTTTTGAACTTCTTGAACAGACTGGACTTCTCTTTGCTGCCACTTAAGCCCTCCGGGGGCACTACTACCAGAGACAGAGAGAGGGCGGCGTCACTCGCTTTGTGGAAGATGACTTTCCTCCGTGCCAAGTGTCTGGCAGTTGGGGCCATGGGAGCCAGAGCAGAGTTAGAATCCATGCTGTCTCCGTCACATGTGTCCTGACTAACATTGGCTGTGCCCACTCCAGAGGTGGAGCCTTTCTTCAATTCTGAGAGCAAATATAGAAATCATTGCACACTTTTAGGACCAAGCTAACATCCTCCCCCCTAAACATGTTTAGGGGGGAGGATGTTAACTTGGTTCTAAGTTGGGAATTTTGAGCCAATCAGAATCGAGCATTTTACATGCAGCGCTTAGCAAATTTAATTTAAATTAAGCGCTGGGGTGGAGGATCTTAACTTGGTCTATTAGGGGGGAGGATGTTAACTTGATCCCACTTTTATATAGAAAGCATCAAGCGAGCAACAACTGAAGTTTAAGCATACTATGCTATAGTATACTCCTATTTTAAGGCTTGATTAGAAAGAAAATATTTTATTGGTTTTTAAGGTTTTTAGTTTCTTCTGCGATCCCAGGAAATATATTTGAAAATTTCATTTTCTTCGAAGTTGAGACATTTTTTGAGAATTTGACTTAGAATTAATTTAAAATATTTTAGGTTTTTTTGAAACCTGATATAAAATGATTGAAACTAACTTTTGCTGCTTTTAGGAGTGTCGTTTTCCGGATTGTCTGAACAGACACTTCCACTCACATCTGGACTGCCCTGGACTGTTGATCCGAACAGAGTTCCTCTCCTGTCTCCCCTTATCCCCTGATGTGCTCCCAGGTGACCAAAGGTCGAGGTCAAGTGATCAACCTGCGGTGTCTGTCTGACTGAGATGAAGCATGTGCGCATGACCTCTGGCGACCCGTATGAGTCATAGACACTGTCCAACATTCCACTGAATGCGACCAGTCTGAAAATGTCTCCGTGGTTCTCTCGGATGTACTGCATCAACAGCCGGATGTACGTCTTCGAGTTCTGAAAACAATATGAATAGAAACTGAGAATTCTTAGCAATCAATTAAGGCGTTAATAACATGAAATTTTTCCATCTGGTGCAATAAAACAACAACAAAAAAAAAAAAATATATGTAAATAATCGAAACATTAACAATTAAATAAATTCTATCTAAATTAAACAATAATGAAACTGATAGTTGTGAACTCACAGTGTCGAATGCCTTTTGGGGAGTGTTGACAATTCTGGTGAGGACAGTCTTGAATACACTGACTACGATAGCACTCTCTATGTCCGCTTCCAGTCCCTCCTCCTCCGCGTGCACTCTTCGGAACCGACTTGAGTAGCCACCCGAGGGATCGTCCCCGTGGAACTTCTTCCAGGGCTCTAAACGGCAACAAGAGAGGCTAACTATTAAACAAGGACGCATAAAAACATGCAAAAAAGCGTTCGTAATATCAGTAGCAAAACAAATATCAATGGCCAATATTTATAAATACTAACCTTTGCACAAACTATCGAGCATCCTAATTTAATCTGACTAAAAACGAAGAAAATTGATTGCTTATTTGATTCTGTGAGTCGGTTCTGAAAATAAAATTCAATATCAGAGACGCAGATGCAATAAAAAACAAACATAGCATTGCAAGACGGATAGAAAAAGAGACGGAAGACACTAAAACGAAAACGAAAATTTGAAATAAATGTCTCAAATGATGTTCTATCGAAGAAAAAAAACAAGGATGTCGAGAAACACAATTACCAGCATTAGCATTACTGAGCATTCAGAACTGTTTATCGAGCGGACACTCAGCCGACAAGTCTAGAGTAGACGCCACTTGGGCCGAAAAAATCGGAGTAAAAATGTAGCAATTGAATTTTCAAACTCGAAGTTTTAACTCCTCGCCCCTTTCTGAAACACACAAAATCAAAAAACAAATTTTGCCCTTCAATGGACGCAACGGAAGACGAATAAGCCAATGAAAAAGGAAAGAGAAACCGCTTCCACAAAATCATAGGTAGAAAATTTACAAATAACCGAACGAAATTCATCACAGAGGCAAAGCAGAGCTTCTCAACACTTGCAATAACAATAAAACATAGTATTACAAAAAATTAAATAGAAAAAAATGGAATTACTTTTTTTGAAAAGTTAAGCTCAGAAAATTATTTGAAAAAATCAAAAAAACTATTTCGATAAAAATTTCATAACTTCGGCTTGGATGATGCTTATAAAAGCCTAAACAAATATTAAAATGACCGAACGACAATTAAGGAGAAAAAACTTGAGTCGAGCGTCTTTAAGTCGAAAACCAAACTGAAGTCATAAAAAACTTCAACCTTTAAAATTTTGCAAATTCATCCCTCTTGAAACAGGTAAAAGCATTTTCAAAAAAATCGGCCTTGAAGGTACACAACATAAGACAATAAAACATATGTCGAACTTGTTTAACCAAATAAAAAATAAGACAAAATAGAGAAAAACTTTCAATTATATAAAAAAACTGTTCAAATCGAAAATTAGAAATTCAAGCGCAGGAAAGAACTGCTAGAAAAGCGATCTAGATAAATCAAATACGTTTGGAAAAATAACGGAAAGTCAGCCGACATAGCTTAGAAGAAAAACCACAAATCCGAAAAAAAATCAACATTTTTTCAATAAATATAATTTAAAAAATTTGAAAAAAATTAAGACCTAGCTCAGATGATGTAAGAGGTAGTTTGATTTATTTCTTATTAAATTGAGCATGCCAGCTTGTGAGCATATGAGCAGAATTAAGCATGTCACTAGAGTTTTAAAGAAAAACGTTTACGGGAAAACAGTTGATGCTTTGGAAAGTAAGTCAGCAAACCATAAGCAGACAAACGATAGCCGATAACTCAAAAAATCTCAAAAAAGTCTCAGAAAGTAAATTCTTGACTTATTTTCAGTTTGTTGGCCTACCACAGAAAATGAGCTTGCTTTCATAAAAAAGCAAGCTCACTTTATGTGGTCGAGCAAGAAACCGAAAATAAGGTTATCATTTCATTCAGCCGAAGGTTAAGATTAGTGGTCCTAAAAACGAAAAAAAAGTGACAAGCGGTTGCAATCTTAGAATATAAGCATTTAGGAAAGCTAATTTTGCGAACAGCAATTTTTGTCATGAAGTGTGCACAATTTATTCAATTCAAAAACTTGAACGGAGTAGAACAGCTACGTAACTTTTTTTATTAACTTTGATCTAATTAGAAGATAATTAGGAGGTATGATGTTTTAAAAATACCGAACACTACATCTTATCCGATTACATGCAAATGTACCACCATGCTAGTATAGCACTGAAAAGTTTCGTCTTCCCGCCGACGGTTTAAGGCCGCCGGTGACCGCGCTTTACGCGCACCGCCACTCCGAGTCATTATCTGATTCTATCTTTCGTAAAGAGCCCTAGACTTTGTTGGCATGCTCGCAACACGTTGGCGCGATTGCGGTGGTTACTGTTGTTATGCAATCATTTTAAGTAATCCTGATAAAATTTCGGCTTTAAGATATTGTTGTTATGCAATTGTGATATGCAGTTCTGATGTTATTTCGTCTTCAAGATATGGCATTTTGTTGAATATCTGCCTCAGTTTCTTACAGATTGGTGAGGGCATTTTTAATGGTAAAAAAGGCTAGTTCCCGCTTGCAATTCACATGCCCTTACACTGAATTTAATCACCTGGAAGGGGGTAGTTGGCGGACTGGCACGACCCCAGGAGAGCGTGGAGGAAGTCAATGACCTCGAACAGCTCGTGATTGGCAGCCAAGTGAGACAGACTGCGTCGAAACTACGACAAACAAAAAAATTCAAAAAAGTTCCACGCCATGAACTTCAAATAAATATCAGAGATATTTTTTAGTTTTGAGCAATCACAGGACATTTCAATCCAAAATTAATAGAATAATTCGTTGTCAGACACACAACAGTGTTATAATGGCCTGTATTGACAGAAGATCAACTTAGTGAATATGCGTGGAAAATACGAATTAAAAAAAGAACATGGGTTTGGTGGTAATGGTATGTGTACTTGCCTGTTTGTCGTTGTGCGAGTGTAGTTTGGACAGACAGGTGAGCGCCTGTCCCCTGGCTGTCATAGAGAAGCTGGCTCTCCTCAACTCACAGGCAATGGTGGAGCGGAAACAGCCCACTTCTCGAATCAGACGCGTCAACATGCAGATCATCGCGCCCACTATCGTAAGGTCCTGATGGAGAAACAGAAACAACTCAGAAACAGGTTTGATGAGATCAAAATCTAATGAAGTTAAGTTGAAGAAGTTAACTAATGCAGCTCAGAATAAAATAAACAAGACTCTAAAATGATTGGGCTCGGTGTTAGAAAAGTGTTTTTTTACTCTCATAAAATAAAACTGAGAACCCCAAGATGGTTCGATCACAAAAACAGACGTAAGCATTTCTACTGGTGAAAATGGCGAAGTGAAACGACGAAAAAAAACTAAAATATTATTTCTTTTAATCTCGATTATTAATGAATGAAAACCTTTTCGCTGGATTTGTCCTTGACTGCACTGGCACCCGACGCATTTGAAGTTGGGGTTCCGTGAGACGCATTCAAATTCAACAGATTCTCTTCACTCGCCTTTTTGTTCACATTTTTCTTCCCTCTTTTCTCTCTCCTTGAGAGTATCAGACCCACAGGTGTCATAGACATCAGAGTCTCAACTAGAGGCAGAATTAATTCAATCACAGCTTGAGACACTCCTCTATTGGTCAAAACATAGAGTGCTCGCAGTATGATTTCGTAATTAAAAGTCCCATCTTCTTGAATGTAAAATATAGTCCCTGTCGGTTCCAGGTAACCAGCACTGGACCCATTCTTACTGGCATGTTTGGACGCCATCCTACCACTACTGTACATGCCAGATAACCCTTCCAATGACCTGAGAGATCCGTTCAGTTCCTCTCCGGGGTCGGAAACGCAAGTTGTTCCAGGCATCGACGAGGCAAACACTAAGTCACTTTTCGACGCTGGTTCACCTCTGTCTCGTGAGGTCAATTTCGGGCCACATGACGCAGGGTCAAGAGTCAAAACTTCAACTGTGTTGTCCATTTTTAATCGATTCGATTGAATACTCGAAGCAGTTTTGGAGTAATCGTCTACAAACGTGGTTCTATTCAGACGTCTATGATTGGTTCCAACAATATCCAACTCACAATCGAAACTCTCCTGGCGTTCTAGTGGTTTTCCTTTATTAGAAGAACTTCCATCACTTTCCGAGCTGTCGTCGTTCTTCAATTTTGCCAAATCACTTCCAGTGTCTACACTGAGTTTGTCCGTGTTTTCGTTCCCGTCCACTGATTCGTCCGCTTCTGTTACAATCTCGGGGATGTCGCACAACTTTTCTCGAAAGTCATCGTCGTGTTCAATGGACACTTTGATAATTGGCACCGGTGTCGAATGACTTCGAGTGGCTTTCCGGTTGGTTCCACTGAGCTCTAAATCTCGGATTTCCACAAAACGTTTCTGAAGGTATTTCAGAGCCCACTTCACACCCTTTTCCGCCCAGTTTGGATTGAAGAGACAACGAATCACTGCAATGTCGAAGAACGTCGGATGGCTCAAATGCTTTCGCTTCTCCGCTTTCGAGAATCCATCGCTGAAGGTTCTCTGCGCCTGATCTTTGTCGAAGAAAGATATGGTTAGCTTCTCGAGAGAACTAGTTCGGTTCAATGAAACGTCCTCCGACATGTTCGAACTCTCGGAGCTCTCATCTTGAGTAGTGATACTGATACTCACGGGTTCCAGAGATGCTGCACCCACACCAATGTTTCTGAACTGCAGTTGTTTTGCTTTCTGGGTTTGTGCAAACTGCTGGCCTGGAGATGAACAAAATCAAACTGAAGAAAGATACTTGACAAATATTCCAACATTCTTTTGGATTCTAATTTCAAATACAGATGCCAAGCGGAGCTAAACATCATTTAGGAAAAAAAATACACGCTATATGAAATGATATACATAAAATTAAAACATGACTAGATGAAAAATCGTAACTTATTGGGTAGAAGAAACATCGGATTTTTTCTCAAAAATTTGAAATCAGATAAATCTTAATTCCACAAAATTTAATACATGAGGCTCAATTCATTGATTTCTTGCGGCTAAGAGTAAAAAACATTCAAATCTTCCGGTAAATTTTTCATTTACCCGGACTACCACTACAATCGTCAACCGAAATGATTTTAAATTATAGTACAGATTGCCTAAATCAGATAAAGTCCATGCTGTAGAGACTTAGTCAAGTAACGATAGCCCGGCAATTAAAACTTTAAATTTCCAAAAAGTAAGGCTCCTCGAACTCGGACTCGAACCCCCAGATCTATGCCCTCCCAAGTGTTCGCATTAGTAGTAGCAGGAATGTGATGTGCTAATTAAGTACGCTGATGAGTTTTGCGAGCAAATCGTTTTACTTACAGGAAAGTAAGCCAAGCACACGGTTGCAATACCCTTTCTATTCGCAACGGTAAATCATGATAGTTTTTGATTCTATAGACTAGCGGTTTGAAAATGCACCTTCACAGATCAAAATCATTATTGAAAGCGGAAGAAACTCACTTGCAAATGGGAGTTTGACAAAACCGGCAAAACAGTCGATGCCCGGTTGTTCACAGTCGCTCAATTTGCCCCACAAGTCCACGCCAGGTGCCAAGTTGAGCAGATCCACCTGTCTCAACCTATCGATGACAGGGCAGAAGCAACTGACAAACAGCTGCACAATGTCCACCGGGTATATCTCATTGGGGGCGGAGCTGCTGATGACATCATTGGATGAGACTGAGTTGGAGGTAGTCTGCTGTGATTGGCTGTTGTTGTTGGAGGTGGACGCGGAGGCCAGTTGGGTTCTGGGGGCATCCACCAGGCACCAGTGCAGGGAGGCGAACAGTTTATCGACTGGAAAATAAAATTATTTCCTAAACACAGTTCCTTCAAAAACAACACATAAAAATCTATTGAATTTTAGAAAAAAACTCATTAGTTTTGCTGAAAAATTTGGCAACAAACTTAGCGACAAGCAAAAGCTTTTTCGAATGTTCTATTTGAAAACAATCGGAACCCTTAAAATCTACCATTCCAAAAACCATTCAAACGGAATCGATGCCAAAATTAAATAACAATTTAAACAAATTAGATCGCTGCCATTTGGAAACGATTTGATTTGAACCCTTTGTATTAAGTTATAAAAGTTAAAAAGAGCGCTTTAGTAGAGCATATATTTTGAAACTTTAGTGTTCTGATCGAACGAAAGTGAATAAGAATGATGGTGCGATTTGTTTGGTTGCAATTGCACTGACTGGCAGGTGGGAGTCTAGTGGTGGATCCACAGCCCCTCAGTCTGTCTCTGCAGTGTAGGGCGATGGAGCAGCAGTGGATGAGGTGGGGGAGGGCGATGCAGACCAGCTTCCACCTGCTGCCCAGCTGCTTCACGGCCACACAAAATGCATCCGACTGGCCGTGCATCTCATTCAGAACCACCACCTTCTCAAACAGCTGAACAAAACATGAAAAATGTTCAAACCACTTACAAAACCAGCACTTCCAAAACCACATCAAAAGAGCTTTGCAAGATAGCAGAGAGGAAATGAAAGCCACCAAATTAAAAAAAAATTAAAGAAAAAATGAAAAAAAACTACAACTAAAAAATGTTGCCTGAAATGATGCCCTTTTTGCGGAAACCACGTCCAGAAACACAATTGAGGGCGTTTGATGACAACACAAAAACTTAAGCGGCAACTGAACTGACAAAACTTGTGTACATTCCCGTAGAGCCAAAAAAAACGTTCTTATGAAAACCTATGAATTATTAGTTCTATTCTATTTTAGTATTTTTGCGATACGGACTTTCAGTATTTTTAGCATAAAATGATACTTCTTTTGAAAGGACCAAAACTAAAGTCACTGAGCTGACAAAATGTAAACCAAAAAATTTTGGGCCGGATAAATTTTTTAGCGGAGAAATAAGCAGGAAAATTCTGAAAACCAAGTTAAGTGAAAAACAAGTTAGAGCAGTACATCAAAAAAAAAGCAATTACAATGAAAATTGCGTACAGCAAAATAAAATCAATTCTAAGATGCAAATCGAATTCTAATGCAAATAGGATCTACTTAACAATCCCCCCCCCTTTCAAGATGCAAAGGGGGAGGGATTATTTAGTAGGTACAATAGGGGGGGGGGGGGGAGATTGTTAAGTAGATTCCTAGGGATCAACTTAACATTCTCCCCCCATTTCTTGAAAGGGGGGGGGGGAGATTCTTTAGTAGGTACAATAGGGGGGAGAGATTGTTAAGTAGATCTGGCAAATAACAGGACAAATAGTTTTTTCCGCAAACAAATACTAGATTCCGATTTGATAACGCTTGCTAATGGCAAGCGTAATAATATATCACTCGATCCATTGAGTTTAACTTTAGTGGTACCTAATTTTGAATGCAACGAATTCAAAGCAACTAAAACTGGCCGTGAAAACTTTTCGATTGGAGTTGCAGTTTTTATCATCACCAAAGAGATGCGGGGTGGTTCACTGAATTCTTGTTGTTCACGAGTAAATTCGGCCAAAAATATAAGGTGGTAGATTATAGTTTCTCGATGAAAAAAATCACAGTTTTTGATTTGCTTTTTGAAAAATCAAGTTTTACACAGAAGCAAAGCATACGTCCTCCACTGGCAATATTTGTCTGTTTATCTTTTCGAACAACCATAATCAGCAATCAAAACTTCAATATTTTATTAAACAAAATGAACTGCAAAAAGAAACAAATGAAAAAGACAGGCAAATAAGACATACTAAACAAATGCAGGCAAAAAATACGAAAATTTAACTATGTCAAAGGATTATTTCTTAGCTTGGCTCAGAAAATTTTTCATTTCAAAGAAATTCCTTCAAAAAAAATCACGGTTGTATTAACATTATTAAACTACCGAGGCGATCACTTAAAATTAACATAATGAAATCGGGTTATTACATCCTACAAAAATTTTGAGAACAAGCCAATATGAAGTTAATAAATTAACACATTTTAAACAAAATAAGGGAGACAGTTATAAAAATGGACAAGATCTTTCAGAAAAAAACCCGAGCTGTTTAACTTACTAACACAAAAGTATATTTTAATCAGAGCAGAAAAGATATTGAAAGTACAAAAATCAATAAAATATCTGATGAGAGCTTTTAAAACATTTGCTTTGATTCATTAATCATTCTTCTATATTTTGTTAAAGTTTAACGCTGTAGAAAGCCTGCTTTTTCTAAACATACTATATCGCTTTCACAATTCACACCGGTAACTTCACTCTTCACTTGCAAGTTTTTCATCAAAAAAAAATATAGGATGGCCAGTTTTTGTACAAGAAGCACAGAACGTGCCGACCACAAAACTTATAGATTATGGAATTAAGACAAAGTATTTTTTAGGAAAAAAAGATACAAAAACCCATCAACTAGAAAAAAAAATTTGTCCTGAATATCATTTTCTTTTTTGATTAAGATAATTTAAAAATTACAAATATCAGACTCCTGGAAAACTGCTAGAACAAAATATATACTCAGGGGCGAAGCTGACCTACGCATATTGCTTGCGATTGAAAACACAAGCATGTTGAAAAAATGGAGAATGTTGAAAAAAATTAGTTAAGCTAAAAGTTAAGTTTTCGTATATCTGGATAGAAGCTCATTCTAAGCTACCATGGCAGAAAATTAAAGTAATAAACTTGAGCAGAAAATCGAGTTTTAAATTAGAATTTGAGTTTTGAAAAAAAAAAAACATTTCCAGGACGTCTCAAAAAAATGAATTTAAAAAATATCCATACAGTTTCAAAAAACTTGCTTTTGAAACAAGAATTCTAGGAAAACATCCCAAACAAAACATCCCGAAAAAATGATTTACAAAAATTAAAAAGCTTCAAGTCCACTTCCTTGAATTTGCAAAGAACAACACTTGCAATTGCAATGAAAGTTGTTTACAGGACAAACAAGATGTGTGATATGGCAACTAAGCCGACAAAACTATAGCAGAAGAACGAAAGTCCAATTATTCAACTTTTAATGATTTTTTTTTCAATTGCACACATCAAAATACAAAGTCCGACCGAAAGTGGAACCCAAGAAAAAGGCGTACAAAGGGTACAAAGGCAATGGCGTTAACTCTAGGCTAAGTGGCATAAAACCTGGAGGTTGTGAAGGCTCATTAGAAAAGGAAGTTGATGAAAAGTTAAAGCATGTAAGAAAAGTTTACTAGAAAAAAAACTTGTTCCCGATTTGAAGACACTAGCTCTCGCAAGTTTAATAATACCTGATTTTGGTGAACAGGAATTCTTGCCCTTGAAACAACGCAATAAAAGTTCATTGTGCATAAAGGCAAAGCGGAATTGTTTGATCGAAACAATTTATATAATATATTTTAAAAATAAAAAATATTTAAAATCGTGTTGGTAAACTGACACTTTACAAACTTTCAAGATCAATTTTAAAATCAAAATAAATTTCATGCTTTACAAATAAAGTCGGAAAAAACAGTACCAAAAAAAACTAATTTCATTTTTAAATAACGGGAAATGAACAGACGGAAACTAGGCCGAAAACCACGAATCCAAAAAAAATTTCTTGAAACACTTTTTCAAGAACTTTATTTGATAAAAAACTAACAGCCGAAACGGACTACACCTATTTGCTACCTAACTGAAGATAACTTTACTTGAATTTTCAAGAAACTGAGCATGTCTGAAATTTACCATTCCTACACATTAGACCATTCTGTGCCTAAAGTTATTTACGGAAAAAAGTGTAGTACCCGATTGCAATGCCCTTGCTTATCGCAAGGGTAACAATAATGTTAAGCTCGCAGTTGAATTAATAAGTTCAGGCTCTCATCGTGTCATTTGTAAATTTTATGCCATTTATTGAAACCGAAAACACTCCAAAAAATTTTTCATAACACTGAGGCAATTTTGTTTTGTTTGGAATCCAAATTACGGTTACAGTCGATTGCGTTCGAGTCACGTTACGTGAAAGAATTTCAAATTGATATGGCATGTGACATTCTACAAGTTTTTCTTCATACACTTAAAATTGTTCGAAAAAATATCCAACAATCCAACACGATAGTTCTTTGTCACATCGTGAGAACGTCAGAATAGTTCGTTGCCAGGTCAGAATAATTACACTAAGCCGATGTTTTTATTCAAAAAAATATATACAAAATTTCAAGTTGGAATTTTAAGTATGAAAAAATCACTAATATCTAATACAGTCATATATACACGGTGTGGATCTAATATTTTTTTCAACAAGGATTAATTTTTTAGGTTGACCAAACTCTTAATCCAATCTTTCCAAAAACTCTTTAAAGACTATTTTACCAGTTTGTCATCGCAAGTGTATTGAGACTGAGACAGATACGCAAAAAAAAATATTTTATTTTATTTCATCTTTTCTATTTTCAATAAAAAAAGAAGTATCAGCTCATAGAAGGAAAAACCCTTTTGGTAATTTTAATTAGTTGAAAAAACTCGAGACGACTCATTCACTCATTTATAAAAAATCATTTTATTTCGATTTCAGCAAATGTTCCAAGAGCAAGCCGAACCGGTCTAAAATGGCTTCCGAAAAAACCAGGTGTCATGAAATCAGGGCGATATACTACAAACGTTGGCAGGTTCACTTTCCATTTTCTCGTTCTTTACAAAAAATCAAAATAATGTCATGGCTAGCACATTTTACACTTCTGTTCGTAGAGTAAAATGTGCTAGCCATGACACTATCCAGTCTGCAAAATGCATTAGAATGATTTTTTTTAACCAACTCGGAACTCTGGATATTTAGCTTGATTATTAGGTTCAAATACATATATACAAGGAGAAAAACATCAAAGCAAAGTTAAGTTTAAACTCTTCTCTGCTCAATTGGCAACCTTTTTGGTATAGTTGCTAAAAACATCTGACTAAAGGAGCATATATCCACAAATAGAACCACGTTGAAACGTTTTTTGTTCAGCTTAGTTGTATCAGCTAGCGTGCTACCTATTGTTTTATATCACTGAAATCAACAATTCACAAAAATTCGTAAAAAACTACAAACTCTCGGATGGGGGATGGGAACAATTTTTATAGTTGTCTGAAAAGCCACAAACATTTATTTTTACGAAATGATGTGAGTCCTTCAAACATTTCACACAAATTTAGGCTGATAAAATCTGAAATTGTAAGAATAATTTTCAAGCTCATAGCTCAATAAAAAAATATAAAGAAGCCAGTAAAACGATAAAATGGTATCCATTGAGTACTGAATATCACCCTTCATATTTCAGAGAGCGAAGCTAATTCAATAAAAGACAATCTAATCAAAGGGAGAGAAGTCTGATAAGAATGCTCCGTTCCTGTGCACATAGCTCCGACCAGACAACATTTTCCGACCAGTTGGAGGGATTGGTAGGCATGCATTTTTTTCTGAATAGTTGTAGTATGTTAAATAATTTAATTATACCAGGAATACTTCTGTAAAGTTTTTGGTGTGGTTATGTAACCGATAGTTTCACAATTGCGGACCACGCGAATCAAACCATTTACCATTCTCGATTTAACATGCTCCGTAACAACTCAGACAAGAACGCCTCGAATACTATCACTATTGAATACTCTTCAATTTAGCTCATGCTATTTAAATTGACATATAGAAACTAATCAGAACGCAGAAATTTACCCTTAACATTTATGAAAAAAAAAATTGACTCGTATTAAAACACCAGTGCTGCTTTGGTAAATGTCACGCTTTAAAGTGCGTATCTGATCATATTTTACATATACCTTACTTTGAGGGTCAAACTTTAAAAGCCATGTTTGATTTGCTTTCAAGAACAAGTGTAATTATTATTTTTCCATGGCCGATTAACTTAAACAACAATTTTTGTCACTTGATTGACATAATTCATTCATGCCAACTGTTACAGCTGGTTCAGGTTGTTAATTTAAACTTTAAGTAGTCTGTGAAGTTGTAGTATCGAAAGTACCAATTGTCTGTTGATTCTCAAATTGGATGACTCACCACACAGGCACTCTCGTAGTCCCTCTTTTTGTACCACTCCCTCTTGAGGAAGGTGCTGAAACACCAAACCCACAATCAGCAACACCCCAACTGCACAAAGGGTAGATAGAACTTTTTCAAGGGGTATGTTAGTCGCAAAAACTTTGCCTCTCAGCACACTTCTGGCCGCATCTGCTATCTTAGAAAAGCCCTTGAATGTACTTTATGCACGATAAATGTCGCTATGCACATGTCTTTGTCATCAATTGTCAAAACTTATTTGTTATCACATCCCCTCTAATTTTTCCTTTTCTTTGAACCAAATCAATTGGTTTTAAGTTTTCAAGAAACGTAACTCCTCCCCTTTAAACCACTCGCTCCACGGTCCATATTTTGATTCGCAATATGGCTAGTTATAGTTTTCACTGTCCGTGCAGCAGTGTTGTTACTCATCAGGAAATCGTTTTTTTTTGGTTGCGTCTGTTTTTACCCTACTCTTTTTTCTTGTAGTTTTACACTAGTGACAGGTTAAGAAGTTTATGGCTTTAAGCATCCTACAGAAACTCTACAGAAGCCTACTGATTCTAGCAATAACAAAATACGTTTTCTAGATTGAGTCATCAAGGCTTATCCACTTACCTTTCAGTTAGTTTTAAGCAATCACATGCGAAAACACGCTCTTTGTATGTTACACTGAGCACTTGCCTTTTGGTATTCAGACAAAAAATGAGACATGGACCAAACTGTTCGGGACATTCACATTCAGAGAGCAAACCATAATTGGATAAAGATAGAAGGGTACAAATTCATTCAATTTCATGCTGCATGTTTCTGTTACTGGTGACTATACTTAACACTTTAGTGGTTTAACACATGCATTTAGGTGAGCATGCTACTTTGAAATGGAAAATGTTCCATTTTCCTGCATCAAATTATATCCCTGTTACCTTTAACTGTAGAAGCCGTAGGTCTCTTGTCTAGTGCTTCGGCCGATTTTATGGTAATATATCAGGACCAATTCAGGCGATAATTTAACCGCACTACTTTTTATACCCCTCGGGAAGCTTATCAGGAAATTCTGATTTAATTAGATTCCAAGTCAGCTACTGCCGAAAAACGCTTCCTTCTTCTTTTCAACGATATGCCAAACTTTCATCAGTTATATTGTGGACAGCTTTATTTGACTAATTTGAATTGTTTAAATTTTTTTGCTCGCACAACTGCATAGTTAAGTTAACTTCAAACAAAATGCTTTTATTGAATTACAAATTAGGTCTTTTGAAACCGCTAAACCTTGAAAAAAAAAATTGAAATTTTTGTCTGAAACTTTTTTTGTTCCGACTTTCGTAATGAAAGTAATGGAATATTTATGCTCGGGGTGATTTTTTTCATCAGACTTTATAACTAGCCATATTTGACGGAATTTTATATCATTCAAAATGTTTTTGTTGCCCTGAGCTTCAATTTGAAAATATATTTCACCTGCGATCATTTTTTGTAAATTTATGAGGGTTTAAGGATTGCCATTTTGGCCAACTTGGGACAATTAACGCGCGATATACTTCGCACTATTCACGCGTAAGCGGAAATTTAATTCGTCTTAGAAATCGTTCCAAATTGGTTGAAGGAAACTTGTTTACCATAATTGATTCGATACTAGAAATGTAATCTATCACTTTGTACTTAAAATGACGAGTGGGGGGATGGCTTTCACAAAAAATCTCAACTAAAGAAAATCTATTTAATAATAACATTTACTTTTTTCAAGTTATTGCTGCTCCATAGACCTTAAAACGCAGTCGGAAGATTCAGGACTTCGACCTGATACGAGCAGTCTTGTTTATACTTGAATTTGAGTTTGGAAGACGACAGGGGTCTTTTTCATTCCGCCCAAATTTCTTTTTATTATGCGATTTTGTAAGATTTAAAGTACAAATGCAAAGAGCAACACACTGATAGCACTGGTTGATTTGGTTATTACAAATCCGATCAATTTATTCCTAAGCCGACTTCTAACCTGGCCGAATTTTGAGCAGATACGAATATGGTCACAATTTTCCCTGGAGTTTTTGTTTTTCCTGAATTGTTGTTTTCTGCGTTTTTTTTGTAATCTGGGTAAAACTATGTGGCATATTTGAAATAATTTTGAGTAGTTTGACAAACAGTTTTAATTTCATGTCAGTTCGGCTTATTTATAATTCGATTTGAAATTGCGAGCAAAAAATTTTTGAGGTTGTACTGAAATTTGATTGGCTAATTCTGGCCAATCAGATTAAATAGCTTCAGATTAAATCAGATTAAAATAGCTTCAGTTTAAGATGGTGAAATATTGATTTTTGGGCTGAATAATTAAAATGGGGACTTAAGACGTAAAGTGGGTTTTTTGCTGCGCATTTCAATTCTCACACAAAAAGCACGTAGTTGCAAAAATAGTATCTCATAAACACTTTCACTGGCAATTCCAATTTCAAAACAATTTTTTTGAAACATATCGAGTCGAAACAATCGTTTAATCATTTCATTTCTGGGGCTTGTGTACATATTTTCCCCAAAGTAACTTGATAGAACATTTCCTAATGAAACGACATACTTAAATTATGCGCACAAGTTTAACCCAGTCAGATTCAAGCATTTGATATTCTGTTTTCGAATTTTAAAGATAACAAGTTTGGGCGGATTAAGAAGAAATTTCTGACGCTTTTTTCTTAAATTGAATTGAGATTAGACAAAAATGAACAGAACAAAAATTGCTTACAACTTTACTAGAATTAAAATGGTACAATTTTTTCCCGAAATACTGGAAGCCTTTTACATGGCCCAACAAAGTTCTAGAAATGTAAGATTTCCAAAAACTTGTGTGAAACGTTTGATATTTGTTTTTAGCCAAAGATTTTAATTTGTATATAGTACAAAAACCTATTTTGGTTATCGACCTAAAATATATTCTTTTATACAGATTTTTGGAATTTTCGTCTATGAGAAATTTGTTGGGATGTGTATGAAACTTCTTTTGTAATAGCTTCTCAAAAATTAACCTGGAAGTTTCAGCGTAATTCTTGATTGTTAAAAAAGCCAAAATTACCCACTTTAAGGCTAAAACTTTGCTAAAAAGTTTCGGAGAAAAAATTGCACCATATTAAGTCTGGTGACATTTTAAGCAACTATTGTTCTCTTCACTTTGTCTTATCTTAACCCAGTTTGTGAAAAAAGCGTTTTAAATTTCAAATTTTATTTGTTTAGTCCGGATAATATAAAATCAGCACTGTAAAAAGGCTTGTTTACAGATTAAATGTTTTTATTTTTAGGGGCGGCCTATTACCATGCATGACGATTAGCCATAGCATGCTAATGTAGAAGAACGTAGTTTGAAGACTCCGTATATCAGATTTGTTTTTAAATTAGCAATTTAATCAGCGTGCACCAAGCCGGCGTTCACTAAGGCGAAAAAGATTGATTTGGAAAATTAGGCTTATTTTTTTCCGTCTGAATGCTCACCCGATGAAAGTAATTAGCACATGCTATTCGGGCAGATTCAAACCACTTGTGGGCTAGTTCATTTACACCTAACTCCTGATCATATCAAGACCTCTCGGTACGTGTGATATCAATTGACAGTTGATTCAAGGCTCTGGAGGTATTACCCAAAAATGACCGTCTTATCGTCTTATTAACCTAGCACCCCAAAATCGTCCCCCAAAATGAATAAAAAAACCCTTGGGGCCAATATACTGAGTTAATTCAAGTTTCTTTATTGGATACTAGTACATGTGTTCACTTTTCTTTTTCAATTTAACTAGATCTTAACCAGTTAACTCATATCTTCAAACATACTGGCGTTGAACGCGTCATGCGTTTGTTTCAGTTCGTATCCCAAAATGAAGATGCCAGCCGGAACAATATGCACTACAGAAGTAACAAATGGCGCGAACTTCTAAGATCGAATCATTGTTTAACAAGATACATTTCCCGTTTTATTCAGTGAAGCTCATTAGTTAGGTAAATGGTGCACCATGACATTAAAAATTAAAAGCGTCTCCTCTGCTGCATTCAAGTACATACAGAACTCGTATTCAACAGGAAACGTACACCGAAAATCATGCAGCTTTTCTGAAGATCTATCTAATTCAACAACAACCATCCCGACTATCCCAACACCAGAACCATCAAGACAACACGGGATGCCGTTAATGGAATTATCTACAGGCAGGCATAACGGAAACATGCAAATATATGGAGCACATTGTAAAAGTAATACTAGCAAGCCTTGCTTTTTATCATTCAGTGCAGTACGGGTACCTGGTTCTAGTCCAGAAAAAAGTCTGGATGCTCAGTGGAACCACGTTGGAGGGGGGTAAGTGGCTTCCCCCTCCCGTGGACTTGAGAGTGGAAGACGCCTTCGGTGGGGGCATTTCGCTATCTGGTCGACCGAAGACAGCATGGGTGGATCCAGCGGAAGACGAAGAGACGCCTCCCAACTGGTTGCTGTGAGTCATTGGTTTATTCAAATATGAGCTGAATGCTCCAACGAGGCAGAATTTACTGTGCTATACTTACACACTAATTTGCTTTACTTTCATACAATCATCTCTAAAAATGCACGAAACGAAATAAAACCTACGATTCCAAATTATTTCTTGCTTCGCCATTTTCGCAACCATGTTCAGGGTTTCAAAAAATATCTGAACATCTCACTTTACGAACACGAAAAACTTCAAATAATAATTGATGCGTTGGAGCAATTATAAATTATATAAAAACTAATAATTGATGCTTTGGAGCAATTATAAATGATATTATAACTGAAGTTCATTTTTGAGTTCCACTTGAATCAACCCCGCGTTCTAAATTTGCTGATCATTTGTTTGCTCCTCGACCTCTGTGTTAATTCTGTTAACTTGTGTAGCTGCTGGCAGCAGACTGAATATAGGCATTGTATTGTGCAGCTGGATGTGATTGAGGTGTTCTTCGTTCAATTGGTAGAGCGGCAGTTCAATCTCTCCCAATTGAAGGGTGCCGTAGAAGTTCATTCTCTCCACACTAGAGGGTGTGTCATCTACGGCCTCTACTGAACTGTTTCCCAAACAGTACTCTCCAGTTGCTTCTCTTTCATGGCACACACTTTCCATTGATCTGAAGCAACGCAAGCGAATAGCAGATATTCGAGAGATTAAAATGCTAAATTTGAACAAGCTAGCAGCCCTTAGATTGATACTAAGCGTTTAGCATAAATGTAATTGTAAACATAATTAACAGAGATGGAAAAATGTCAATGCTAGACTTTTGTTTCGAATTTCAGAAAAAAAGCATATCACGTTCAAGCTCTCTGAACTTCTAAGATCTTTTATGACAGGCACTTTTTCTATATAAAAAACCTAATTTGAAAAAATTCATGAAAAGGTAATTTTCTAATTGCGCTAAGAAATCTAAAAATTTAACCTTTACAATTTTTGCCCCAGTTTCACTTTCGTAATTGGAGATCGTAAGTAATTAGCAAAAAAATGAAAGAAACTTAAATACCCTTTCTTCTTTCACCAAAATTTTTACTCAAAATCATAATTCAATCTACAAATCAGCTGCAAGCACACTAAACAGGCGACTTTTTGCTTTTAATATCTTACGTTGAACTGCTATTTTGTTCAATTGTTATAAATATTAACAAATTTGGTTCGAAAAACAATCGTTCAAGATATTTGAAAACAAATCGATAAAGCACTTACTATATTCTAATACATTTCACGTCAAAAACTTACCCCTGGTGTTTCCAATCCATTGATTGCAGCGAACGTTCTCCGGGCAAACTTTGATCTATCGTACTTGGTGTTACAGACCATACTCCGCGATTCGTTTTTCTCGTCTTGGAATCCATACCGTGTACTGAATTGCGAACTCTCTTTAAACAGACAGTCAACAGATGTCTGGCCATCACATGCATGTTGCTATGAGATTGCCTCACATGAGTCTTCAAAATACTTCTAGTGTAGCACAGTCGGTGACAGAAGTTGCATCGCAATCGAAACAATGAGTGCCTAAAAATTATAACTCAATTCAACTCGATTATCGGCTAGCTTTCCTTTGCTACTATAAATTTCCCCAAAAGGTATGCATTTCGTTATAATAGTTCGGAAACTTTTCAATCGGCTACAGACAAAACCCATAGAAAATGGTGTCCTACCATTTGACTCAGTCTTTAACACTGTGTCATTTAAGTAAATTCTTTGCATTTTAACGCTACGATAATTTAACTTACTGTCGCTACAAGAATTTAAAACCCACGACTAGCAAGTAATTGATCGTAGTTTGTCCCATAAAATATAAACAACCCAACAGATTGTTGGAAAATTGTCAATGAACAGAATTAACTATTATTTATCAAGGAAAAGAAAAAAACGGATTGTTTTTTGAATAAGATTTTTTGATACAACGAAAGCGTAACATTCTAGGCTGCCAGATAGTGTATGGAAATAACTAAAAAAATACTTTGCAACAAAAACCAAATTTTTTTTGGAAATACGAAAAATTCGATCTCCAGAATTACAACCACCAGCATTAACCAAGCTTTCAGTATTTTCCGAGCGTTCACAAAGCCAGCAAGAGACAAGGATAGACACCAATTCATCCGAAAAACAAAAAATGCTACATGAAACAAATGTCATAAAAAATTTTTGAGCGATTAAAAACTTGAAGCTTATAACTTTTATACTACCAAACGACAAGATTTAAACAAGGGTAGAAGAATCATTTCTTATCCTTTAACCGATACAAAATAGGGCGGCTCGGCTCATGTTGTCACCAAGCCGACAAAACATGAGCCGAAATCATATACGCCGAATAGAATTTCGAAGCGAAAAAAAAACTAAATAACGGAAAATGGAAAATACACTCGTCAGGGATAGTAAAGTTTAAAAACCTTCAAAAAATCACCGGAACAAATTAGTTAATTCAAGAAGGACAGCACGAAAAACGGTTCGACAAGATACACCAACAGAAGAGAATAAACCGAAAACTCATGGAACTCAAAGAGCAATTTCTAATTCTCCTGGGAACGAGAGTCGGGAGTGACGAACTGCTGCCGAGACTATGTTTTGACTAAAAACTGAATCAACCTGGTTTTTGTTGTACTAATCTTGTTTTACATAGAATATATGGGAACGATATTAAGCATACTAAGGAAAGAGGAAGTGGGAAATTTAAAAAACAGCTCAATTGATTTTTTTGAATATTAGTTCGCTTCGATGCCATCATGGACCATCTATATGATGGTTTTCTTAACATACAATCAGTTCACTTTGTGAAACTTCTAACTCAGATAATAATCCAGTTGATTACCATAAGATATCAGGATATCAGCAAACTGTTACTAAAGGACGAAAAGAAAAAGGTGGTGGTTGCGCTTTTTCATTAGAAAAGAAATTAATTTTACTGCGCTTTTTTCATTAGAAAAGAAATTAATTTTACTTTAACTCCTGATTTCAACTCCAATTCAACATTAGAAACTTTATCAATTTCCGTTAACGGTCCAAACATCGAATCTTTTAAAATCTCGGTTTTGTATGAACCTCCTGAGATGGCAGACAAAATTTCGAGGAGTCTTTGGAATTTTTCCCGGACAATTTATCAGAAAACAGAAACCGAAAACAAAACTTTTGTGGGAACCTGAATATCAACATTTTGGAAATTACTTCAATTTCTAAGGAATATAGAAATCTACATTAGTGTTTTGGGTTGATTATATACAAAACTTTCTTCCACTAGAATCACGCCAACTTCAAAAACTTGTATTGACCACTGTATTTCTGACAATTCTACGAAAACTTATACGATTGGAACCAATATCAGCGATCAATAATCTTTGTTATTTGAAAATAAAGAAAACAAGACTGCTCGTATCAGGGCGAAGCCCTGAATGTTCCGACTGTCTTTCAAGGTTTATGGAGCAGTAACAACATTAAAAAATTCAATGAAATAAAATAAAATGAAAAAAAAAATTCTAAAACTTGAATTTTTTTAATGAAAATCATCCCCCCACACGCCATCTAAAGTACAAAAGGATAAATTTTGCTCCATGTAACAAACCAATTATGGCAAATAAGCTTCCTTAAACCAATTTGGAACGATTTCTAAGACGGATTAACTCTCCGCTTACGCGTTAATAGCGCGAAGTATATCGCGCGTTAATTGTCCCAAATTGGCCAAAATGGCAATCTTTAAACCCCCGTAACTTCACGAAAAATGATCACAGGTGAAATATCGTTTCAAATTTGAGCTCAGGACAACAATACCTTTCGGATGATAAAAAAATTCCGTCAAAAATGGCTAGTTAAAAAGTCGAAATTTGTCTGAAGAAAAAAAAACCCACCCCGAGCACAAATATTCCGTTACTTTCGTATCGAAAGTCGGAACAAAAATAGCATCGAAAATTTGAATATAAACTGAGGATCTGACAATTTCGAAAAATTAATAAAAACGATTACACTGTTGAATATTTCTTTGCACTGAGCAATTTTTTGCAAAATATTAAGTTTTGTTTGAATAGTGACTTATTTTTATTCATACCCAAATAACTGAATCATTAGATACATTCATGCCTTGTATCGAACAGAAAATGAAAAAGAAATGGATAACTCGAGAATGTCAAGCTATGACAGAACAAAACTTGTTTTTTCAAAGATATATCCAAAATCCATTGAATTTTAGCGAGCAACAGTTCAAAACAGCAAAAAAAAATACGCTTCTACGACCAGTCTGCAGAGTCCAGTGAAAATTCAAAAAAAAAATTCAACGTATTCACGCTCTTAGGCAATTAAGAAATAACATGTTTTGCTGAAATAGAAATGAACCTAGCTAAAAAAATTATCTCCACCTAACTTTCAATTCACCTATCCCAGAATTGCAGTTACATTTCTATTCTCGATGATTGAACCAAAAGATTTTAGTGAAGCGATTAAAAGGGCGTGCAATAGTACTGCGGTTGGTCATGATGGCATTAGCATGAAGACTTTAAAACTTCATTTGTCTGTTGTAATTGAGCTTCACCAAACACAAACCACATGTAAAGCAGAGAACAGATGCTATGCAACGGTGAAAATTCCAAATAAATGAACACTTCTAAAAAACACTTTTATTTGCAAAATAGGTTAGAAAAAAAGACGCTTCGTAATAAAACACAAAGCTGACCACTATTGTTAAGAGTCGCACGTCCTGGCATCACTTCTTGGTCGCCCAACAATCGACAAACAATTGTCTTGAATAAAGCAGATACAACAGATTCCATATTTGGGTTCAAAAAAATGAGATTGGTAATCTAACACTACGCTAGCTAGCTGGCTTGTGTATATACTCTTAACCATTTTTGCATAGAACGAACAACATTAAGATTGTGTTTATGCATAGCAATTAGAAAATATGAATAGCCAAAACTTGTTCCAAATAATTTACGACCAGTTACGACCAAGCAACTTCTAGATTTCATTTTACGGAATCAGAAAAAATAGTCAATTCTTTTACAGTCTGGTCACGAGTTTTCTCTTAAGCTGAAAAACAGCTAGGATGGCATGCCATTCTTGATCAAAGGAAGCCCAGTTTCGGGGCGCATGAAATCAGCCATCAGAACGAGTGATTAGTTCATTTCCACAACTTGAGCTTATTTATAGTTTTTAACAAACTTATCGGACAAATTAACATCCTGAAATAAATCTGAGAGTGAGATAAAATTCAAATTGCTAACGAATTTTCGAAATTGCGTTGCAACTATCATAAGAGCAAACTAAAAAGATGCGTTTTCAGAGGTCCGTTCTTTGGAATATAACTTCAAGTCCTTAAAGTTTCATTCAGCAGCAATCTCACATGCAATTTTTCATTAGAAAATAACACATAAAACGCCGACAAAAGGGTTAACGCGAAACTTCAAAAAGCCACAGAGCTGATTTAAATTATCCGGATAAAGCAAATATAACTTTAAACGCATTTCTCAAATTGGGTTGAATTAAGAGAAAAAATTGGTATGACAAAACTTGCTTAGAATTTTGCTTTTCAGTAGAATTAATATGGTGTAATTTATTTTGCAAAACTCAGGACCAAAATTTTAACCCAAAAACGACCATTTTTGGCTTTTCAGTCAATCAAAAATTACGCCAAAACTATTGGCTCAATTTCTGACAAAAATAAATCAAAACAAGCCTCTTATATAGCTCGACATTAAGAAGGATAATCTTGGCATAATTTCTGATGGACTAAAAAAATCTGAAAATATTCGTTTTTGGGGTAACATTTTGTGCCTGAATTTCACAAAAATAAATTCCACCATAATAATTCTGATGAAATTCTAGCCAAATTTTGTCTTCATCAAGATTTGAGAAAAACGCGTTGTTAATTTCAAGTTATATTCGTTTTGTCCGATAAATGTAAATCATGTCTGTAGTTCTTTGAAGTTAATGGATTTCAATTTCAATTATTTCAAACATTACTAGCAAGCCCGCCTCCAATAAACAATTGGCTCGCAAAAAATGTTTTGATTAAGCTATCCAAGCTATGAAACGTTGAACAAAAAAGTAAAGTTTTTCTAGGCAAGCCATTTAAGCACGGAAACTTTGAAAAAATTCAGGTTGTTAGATAGAGCGAATCAGGAATCAGTTTGTGAAAAGTAAAAACTTGTCTTAGTAAGCTATTCAAGCAGTAAAACTTTGAAACATTTCATGCTATTTCACACAGCGAACTGGTTTTTCTTAAGCAAGCTATTTAAAATATATACACCTTTGAAACCAAAACAGCGAATCGGATAGCGAAATAAAAATTTACTTCAAAGCCACTAAAAACAATTGAAATTTTGGTTTTTTATATTTGTTCCGGTAAGAACTATTTCAAGTTTTTCAATTGGAGCCAATCACGCGATGGAATTGTCAACTATTTCAAGATATTTGACCGATCAAAATGATAAGCCAAGAAATTAGTTATGGTATGCTAGCTATTTGGCTTGAGTTTTCATACGCGTCAACTTATTTCGTAGACCGAATCGGTTCACGAAAAGCCTATGTTTTTCTTGAGCAAGCTATTCAAGTTATGAAAGTTTGAATTACTTCAAGTTATTTTCTGGACCGAATCAGTTCGCGAAATGTTCAAGTTTTTCATATCGTTTATTGGATTGAATCTTTTGCAAAAAATAGTTAATAAGCTATTCAAAACTTTAAATCTCAGATCGTTGCATGAAGCCAATCTGTTGGCAACAAATTCAAGTAATTCTAAGGAAGCTAATTAAGTTATGAAACTTCAAAAAATTTCAAGTTAATTCATGAAATAGAAAAAAGAGCCAGCAAAAAAGATAGCAAGCTTACAGTCTGTCTTCTCAACAGGCTATTTAAGCTATGTAACTCTTAGAATTCTGTAAATTATTTGGTTGATCGAATCGGTTCCCAAAAAAGAAATTTTTCTATGCAAGCTTTTTTAGGTATAAAATTCAAAATAATTCAAGTTAGTTTCAATCCCGAACCAGTTTGCGAAATTTTCTAAGAAGCTTTCGAAGCTATGAAACTTCAAATTTTTTCAAATAAATTCATAGACTGAATGTTGAAGTTTTTCTAATCAAGCTTTTGAAGCTATGAAATTTTGATTTATTTCAAGTTATTTCATAAATGGAAATTAAATTATTTCAAATTAATTCATAGACTGAAAGTTGAAGTTTTTCTAATCAAGCTTTTAAAGCTACAAAATTTTGATTTATTTCAAGTTATTTCATAAACGGAATCAGTTTGCTTTAAACTTTTCGACGCCAGCTAGTCATGCAATAAATCTTTGAAATATTTCAAGTTTTTTGGCTGACCAAATCGGTTCACGAAGTTGAAGTTTTTCGAAGCAAGCTTTGCTGAATCATTTTGCGAAAAGCTTAAGTTTATCTGAGCAAGCTTTTAAAGCTTTGAAAACTTTAAATTTATTTTGCAAAAAACTTGCTTACAAAATGTTTGCGAAAGCTTTGCTTCAAAAAACGAGCTTTTCGCAAAACGATTCGGTCAATGAGATAACTTGAATCATTTATGAGCACACGATTCATGCGATGAAACTTTTGAATTTCTCAAATTATTTCAAGAGGCAAAACGGTTCGCGAAAAGCTTGAGTTTTTCTAAGCAAGCTATACAAGCAAGGAAACTTTGAAAATTGCATAGTGCAAATCGGTTGGCAAACAGCTACTTTTTCTAGCAAGGAGGTTGTTGTTTCTAGAAGGTTCGTTTCAGACTGAAATCAATCTAAAAACGCAAATTTCGGAAAAAAATGGACAGGCACCGTCTAACCTTGAAAACGAATTGAGTCCATTTTGTCTACAGCATTGAATTTTTGTCAAAAACAGTTCTAGAACACTCCAGACCTAAGAAAATTTGAAAGTTCTAGAATATTCTTGCCCTTCTTTTAAACGTTAAACGTCAAGCCTTAAGAATTTTTTAAACGTTGCTTTCGACAAAACTAAAACATTGCGTTCAGTTAAACATCGCGTCCATAGCGCATTCGGAGTTACATTTAATAAATAAGATGACGTCCGATAAATTTGTTAAAAACTATAAATGGGTCAGAAATTCTGAGCATAACACCTTTCACATGATTGCTAACAAATTTAAAGAACTACAAGGTTTTAAGCGGTAACTAGCATATACGATTATACCTCATACGATTATTTCATAAACGATTATAAGTTTTACGATATTTTCGTTATGCGTGAATACATTGATTCAAATTATACATGTTTTACTTACCTTAGAATGTGAATCTTGAACTTTTCGATCTTGCTTCCATCAAACGTTCGATGACAAAAGCTGCATTCATTGAAATGATACTTGCGGAAATGACGAGCAACATTCGAATAGCTAGCGAGTAACAGGTGACAATTCTCGTCTGGGCAGCAGAAACTTTTGCCCTAAAAGACTTTCTCTGATAGCGGTTGATAAACACATCAACTAAATGTGAGTAGCCCATGAAAACATCTCTTAAGAAAGGAAAAAACGGTTTTCTTTCTGTTAAATTCTTCAGTAATCCGTTTTCTCACATGAAACTCAGCGAACTAGCTAACTAACCAATCTATAGTTAATACCTAACTGCTGGCAATATCGGTGACATTGAGCCATTTCATCGGTCAAAAACTCTAGCAATTTAAGTAGTTCAGTTTCTTGAATACAGTTTTTGATGGCAGAAATCAGTAAAGAAAAAATGAGTAGTTTTAGTTTAATCAACTTCGTTGATCGAGAAAATACTGCCAAACATTTTGACATTAACTATATTTATTACTGATTTTCTACAGACTTTCCTTGAACTAAAAAGAGTATTGCCAACCAATTGCCATTAAATATATAGTTTTTAACAAACTTATCGGAAATGTCTTAAATTTCTGACCTTGAGTCAATGAAATGGTGTTGAAATTGCAATCGCAACGTCAGTTTTTTTTCCTTTCTGTTAAATTGCTCGTTTAACCGTTTTCTCATGTAAAAACTCAGGCAGCTACCTCACTAACCAATCTATAGTGAAGGCCAAATTGTTGGCAATATCGGTTACCTTGAGCCATTTAATCGGTCAGATCTCTAGCATTAAAGAAATTTAAGTGTTTTAAAACCGTTTTTGATGGTAGAAATCAGTTGAACACGAAAATCCGACGTCAAAATGGGCAGTTTTAGTTCAATCAATTTCGTTGATTGAAAAAATATTGCCAAAATTTTGGTATTAACTATATTTATTACCGACTTTCTATAGACTTTCTTTAACCTAAAAGAATATTGCCAACAAATTGCATTAACTATAGAGAGTTGCAAAAAGTTCGGACAGACAGAATCAATTAAAAAGAACAACTCTCCAGACATCAACGGAAACTAAACCTGAAATAAACATAAGGTCGAAAGTTCATTAAGCAGAGTTTCGCTCAAAACCTATAAAATCGGCGGGCAATTGCATTCGAAGCGTCGAATAGAAAACCTTGAAACAGGAAAGTTGTTGCTCAGGGTGGCTAATGTTTTTCTGCGATTAGTTTCCAAATTTTGAATGATTTAATCATCTTCACTTCCGTTTTTTTGGGGCGGCTTAATCTGTTTTTTTTTTGTTGAAAATATTTCTGGATTTCGATTTTTAAACTAATTTTGCTAACTATTTGATGGTGAATCTGGATGTTCATCGCAGTCTTTAAAAATTAGGCTAGCATAATCATCGGATAATCGATGATCTTGCATTTTGAATTTAGTCTGACAAAAAATTCAAGGTTGTTCGGCTTCAGGTTTAGCAAGCAAAAAAGCGTCGAAAAGCACTGATTGCTCATTTTAATTAACTTTTTGCTACTAATCATATATCGTTTTTAATATAATTATCGGACATGTCTTGAATTTCTGAAATATTTCAGACCTTGAGTCAGTGAAAGGGCGTTGAAATTGCAACCGAATTGTCAAAACTGCATTGAATGAAACAGGAATTTGCGTTCTAGGAGACGTCCATTTTTTGCCTAATGTCAAGACAACAATTCAAAAATTCAAAAACAACAATGATCTTCCATGCAATTTTTCAGCGAAAAAAGCACAAAATCCGACAAAAGGCAAAACTGAAACTTCAGAATGATTATTAGTTCAGTCGAAAGTCAAAATGTTGTCGGATAAATTTGCTTAAAGCTTTAAAAACTATATCTACACATAGGAGCGAAAAACCAACCCTCGAAAAGGCGATATAGATTGGAAACACGTAAACCTGCTCAAACAATATCAAAACAAAACAACGTTTGCGCAAAATTGTTGGGAATATCGATGAACTTGAGCAATTTAATCGGTCAAAACTATATCATTTTAGGTTAAACAGTTTTTGTTAGCAGTTTTTACGTAAGGAAACTAGTGAAAAACCAAAATCTAATTTGGATATGGACAGTTTAAGGTTATTCATTTCGTTCAGATTCGTTGACCGAAAAGGATATTGCCAAACAATTAGGCATTAACTATAGAAAAAACTTGAAAACAAAAAAGATCAGATCATCTTAAAATGATTTACTCGCACGTCCTTTAAACTCGCACGTCCTTTCAAAATAAAAACTCGCAAAAGATAAACTCGCACGTCCTTTCAACTAAGATTTTTAACTTCCAAAATCAGAAAAAATCCATTTTATTCTATACAATATCAAAGAACAGTATAAGAAACAAAAAACGCAAGAAAACGGAAAAATACAGACTTGTTTCTTTTTGAAAAACTTCGGCTTTCGTATTTTGAAGTAAGCAGTGCTCCTATCAAGGCAAAGCCCTGAATATTCATACTCCTTTTTAAGGTCTGTGAAGAAGTGTTCGATTTATTATTTAAAATGATGACACAGGCGAGGCTGTGCTTCGTAAAACCGACAAAAAATCAGCTCTTAAGTGAAATTGTCCCGGAAAGCATTCGACTCCGTGACTTTTTCCTTTCAGCTTGAACCGACTTTTCGTCTTCCATGCGAATCAGATATTCGGGCTCATCGGTCAGTTGCTTGACTTTTGCAGAAAGTTGACTGATTTCTTCTTTCTTTCTTTTCAGTGACATCTTTTTGTAATTCTTCTTTTTATCCTTCAAGTCGTTTTCGTATCTAGATCTTGCTCCACGAACTGAGGTGAAAACTTTCTTGGTGATACCGATTTTGAGCGCTTCTCCAGTATGTTGAAGCCATCTTTGCACCGACGAAGAGGGACAAGAGTATCGAGCTGCTGATTGTCATCAATAAGGTCTTTGTTGATCCACAAAATTTATAGGCGACTTCGTTATAAGATCGGTACACATTTTCATAATGATATCTCTGCAGGTTGTCAGAAAAGCAAGTTTATCAGTTCCACCGGCATCAAATGATGCAATGGCTGTTACATACAAACCCAACATCGATTTTCTCACAGAAATCTGATTCTCTGCTTCATTAACACCAATATCATTTAGACGGTGAAGACGATCCATCATCTATCAACGCCGACTTAATCACTTTGCCCATCAGCTGCCTCAAAATCTGCTCAATAGCCTCAGGTACACGAGGAATTGGAGGACTTCCAGATTGGAAAAACGTAAGATAAGGCTCGAAGATTCTTGCAACTGTCTGGAAGAAATAAAGCTTTGGAATCGTAAGATTGTCTTTGACAAACTGCTAGACAATTTTGGACGATTCGCATTGAGGGTGATTTGCGTTGATCTGCGTGTTATCTTTGTCTTCCCGCATTGATAGTCGCCAGCTATAGCACTGTCAGGGAACATGATCTTGAGCAACTGACTGACATCTGAGTTGCGAAAAGATGAACATATTTCAACCAAATGCAATGCATAAAGAACTTCTACCTTGCGTGTAGCATCATTTACTACCACTGGTTGAGGGGTAGGCAACCTTTCCTCGACAACAATTTTCACAACGTCATTCGACACTGAGCTAGACTCATCAGTGTTGTGCTCCAATTGCTTTACATTCATAGTTTCGCGCCTTAGATTAATCAATTGTTGATGGTTTTTGTTCCGTTTCGAATGTGACTTCAACGCCATGATCCCCATATTCGCCGAAGAAAACGACTTGTTGCATACTTCACATCGAAACTCATGTTCACTTGTTGCCTTTGCAAGCCAATTACTGAAATTCTCCATTGCCAGACCATCCTTATTCAAAAATTTTCAGGCTATGGAGAGCACCGTCCGAAGAGCTGGTCGATCAAACTGTTTCGAAGATGACCTGAACAACACTGTAGAAAACATTTTCATACAAAATCCAGAAACATGACTTCGCAGAGGGCGCAGAAACCATAATATCAATGCGCCCTTGACAACTGTTTGGAGTCGCGTGGAATTCGTTGAATATGAAACACTTTTTGCATTTGGCTTCTTGAAACATGTAGTTTTTTTTCAGATTATTGTTTATTTTTGAGTACGAAAAATGATAAGTCGTGGAAACAGCAACATATGCATAAAAATTGCAAATTTTGGCTGTTGAGAACCCCAAATACATTATTGAAAACCAAAAATTATGCGCTGGGTTGGAGAAGTCAAAGGTATCATTTTAGGTCCTTTCTAGTTAGCTGCAATCAGTTTCACTACGAAGATATGCTTGAAAATCAAATTTGGACCCCCCTCAAAAACAGACGAGATCTACGCCGATGCTAGTTTATGCCAGATGGAGCATCCAACACACCTCGTGTATGGTCACGGCATGGCCACAAACCAAAATAAGGGATCAAGTAATCAGTCAAAAGGCTCAAGTACCGTGACGGGCTCAGAGCACTGACCTGAACCCCCTGGACTGGTTCTGGGGATGGCTGCGGCTGAAGTCAATATCGAAAAATCCCGAGCTATCACAGAGCTCAAAACATCGGTAGAAAACGTTGTCCAAGCCACAAAAAGTGCCAAGTTTTGAGGGCAACTCGAAACATCATAAACGAATGGAAAAATGTCGCGCTGTGAATGATCGACTTTTTCGGCAGCAAAATTCGGGCGATTTTAGTCAAATTGATTTGTTTTAAAACCCCGATCACGGCTTACAGGGCTCTGATATGATCCCAAGCTGACCCCCTGCAAGCTTTCTTTCAGGTATTCTTCTAATATGATATATGAAATGTCAGCGTTTTCAAAATGCGCATAATTTACGAAACACCCTATATAACAGAGTATGAACTACACTCATCGACTTTTAATAAGAAAACTTATTTCAATTAAGTCAACTCTGATGGCTAGAAAAAATTCAATTTGATTCAAGCCAATTGTGATAATTTAAAAAACTTTGAAAATAATTTACTAAGGTCTAAATTTTAAAGCAAGCTTTTTAGCCAATGAAATTTTAACTTACTGGAAAAGAAACTCGTTATATTGAAATAATCAGGAACAAGATCATGATTTTTCGAACGCTAATGAAACTCATGAACATTTTAAATTTACTTAGATAGTTCTCAAAATAATTCTCAAAAATTTGAAGCTTTCAAATCAAATGCAAACTTCGAGCAATTCTAGTCAAATTGATTTGTTTTAAAATCCGAATCACTGCTTACAGGGCTCTGATATGATCCCAAGCTGTCCCATTGCAAGCTTTCTTTCAGGTAATCTTCTAATAGATATATGAAAAGTCGAAACACCCTATATTACGAAACACCCTATATAACAGAAACTGAACTACGCTCATCGACTCTTAATTGCCCTCTGATATAAACAAGCAAACGTATTTGAATGTGTTAGACGATTTATATGTTAGAAGATTTATATGTTAGACGATTTCCCTCTGATATAAACAAGCAAACGTATTTGAATGTGTTAGACGATTTATCGTTCTCTGTTGACATCGACAAGATTGTTTAAGTTGACAAGTTCTCTGAAACCAACTCTTCGCTTTATGATTGTTTTAAACTTTTACGCTCACTGTCCTGCGATTCCGACATACCAGAATCTATGTTCCGCGATATTCCATATGCCCCGCTATCTTATTCTCGTGCAATTGCAAATGGGTTCAACACTTTCTTTGGATCGGTTTTCAACGAAGATGACCATTTATTTGACGATTTCTCAGAAAATGAGCTGAACGAAATTACAGTTTCTTTAGAAGAGGTTGAACTTGCCCTGTCTAAAGCATCCCTTGGTTGTTGAGACGACATACCAGGGATCATATTGCGCAAATGTTCTACAACTCTCGCCACATTTCTTGGCTCTTTTTCGCCATATCCTCTCCAGCATATTCCCAGAACACTGAAAAGTTGCGAGAGTAGTACCAAATCCAAAGTCTTCTGTTAAATGGAAGGTAAATAGCTATCGGCCGATCAGTATTTTGTCTAAACCATCACTTGTTTTTGAGCGAATGTGTACAACAAACTATTTCCATATGTACGAAACAAAGTCACTTCTCATCAATCGGGCTTTCTAAATAAGCAATCGACGACAACTGGGAAACGGCTTATAGTCTATATCTCGACTTCTCAAAGGCGTTTGATAAAGTGTCCCATACCCTCCTGCTCCACAATTTTCGATCTCTCGGCGTCGGTGGTAGCCTTTTGCGCCTTTTTCATTCCTACTTATCCGGTAGAACCCAATGTGATGGTAAATGGAATAAAATCACGCCTAGCAAACATTCGGAGCGGCGTACCTCAAGGCTCTATACAGGGGCCTATACTAATCCTTTTTTTAATTAACGATTTACCTGACCAGTGCTTTGCTACCGTGCCTAATATTTTTGCTGATGACTTCAAGTTTTCGTAATGCAACCTTGCCAGCATTCAATCAGATGCAAACTTTCTCCTGCAGTGGGCCCTTGAGAACAATATGCATTTTAACTTTGACAAAACTATTTTATTTACTTGCCCATCGATTGATGCTACTATCCAAATGGGTGCCAACGTTGTCGAGACCTCTGATCAAGTAAAAGACCTTTTACATATCTTCCACACTTTCATGGAGTTTCCACGTTCAAAAGCGCATGAATCTTGCTCCTAGCACGCTTTTGCGCTTAAAACGTATCATCCCTTTTACCACGCCACGGGATATAAAGCTACGGCTCTACAACATGTACATAGTTTCAAGTATGCTATATGGTTCTTCTGTTGCTGCCTTTAATTTAGGCGACATTGAGCGAATGGAACGACTACAGAATCGAGCGAGCACCTGGATTATTCGCGGCGAGCTTCGGCACTCAGCAACTGATCGTCTACGTCGACTAAAGCTGCTTCCTATATCTCTCAGGCTTCAATTAAATGATCTGATTCTGTTTTAAAAAAACTGGTAAATGGGAAGTACGATGTTGATATCTGGTCCTATGTGCAGTTGAAATACCCTCGACCTGGTTTTCGGCGCAACAACCTGCCGCTCTTTGAAATACCGCGTTGTCGATTAAAAAGGACTGATTCCTCGTTTTACCACAGAGTGTGCTATCTAGCCAATAGACTTCATATCGAGACACGTATTTCGGTATTTGATCACCTAAAAGCTTTCAAAACTGATGTATCTAATCTCTTTATAACTTTCTTGAACGACACGTACAATCGCAGCAACTCGTGCAGTAAATTCGTTTTTTGTTATTGTTCAAATTGTCGATTGTGCCACATGTAAATTTGCTCAAGCAAATTAAAGTCTTTTACTACTACTACATACTACTACTAATAAAAAAACTTATATTGATATTAAGTCAACTCTGATGGCTTGAAAAAATTCACCTTGATTCAAGCCAATTGTGATAACTTGAAAAACTTTGAAAATAATTTTCTAAGGTCTTAAATTTTTAAGCAAGCCTTTTAGCCGATGAAATTTTAACTTACTGGAAAAGAAACTCGTTATATTGAAATAACCAGGAACAAGATCAGGACTTTTTGGACGCTAATCAAACTCTTGAACATTTTAAATTTACTTAAATAGTTCTCAAAATAATTCTCAAAAAATTGAAGCTTTCAAATCAAATGCAAACTTCGAGCAATTCTAGTCAAATTGATTTGTTTTAAAATCCTGATCACTTCTTACAGGGCTCTGATATGATCCCAAGATGATCCCCTGCAAGTTTTCGTTCAGGTATTCCCCTAATATGATATATGAAGCTTTATTATGTCACCAAACTTGGCCTCCTGCGAGCTTTATTTAAGAGTGCGTGGTCGGAAAAAGACACTAAAAAAATTGAATAGTGAAATGCGTAATAACTTCTGTTTTTTTCCAAGCCTGTACCATCAATATTTTTGATGATTTTTTGAAAGAAGCTATCAAAAGTAGACTCACATTTTACCGCTATAATAGTAAGCTTATGGCAATATTCATTAATTACATTGACAAAAACATTAAGAGTCATTTTTGGGCTAAATAAAATTACTCAGACTGTATTAAGCCACTTCAAAATCAATCGCCAAAAAAGAAAAACAATCACCAACACAGAGGCGAAGCTGAACTTCGCACTACTTGCAATACAACAATTATAGGACATAAAAATTTAGCAAACAGAATTCCGAACTAAGTTACAATTGAAGAAGGAAGTGGAAAAACGAGAAAACAAAAATGCTTTTTTCGTGTTTGAATTTTGGTTTTTCAAAGAAGTCCTAGTGAGCTCAACTTTAAGCATTTAACAAACTGGTACCAGAGTCTTAATGATCACAAAAGTACAACCGGACATTTTAAGTTAAAAAAATTATTAAAGAAGCCAACAGAATTGAAGCCGACATCAAATAAGCTTTATACAACGCTTTATACCAGGAAAAAAATTTATGCACCGCGCACATAAGATCCGCGATAGCTATATAAGTAGCATATGCAAAGTAGACTACATAATTTGGAAACTAAACTGACAAAGATAAGGTCGACAACCATGCAACCGAAAAAGCATCAGTAGAAAATTAACAACAAAACATTCATTATACATAAACAGTGGTTTGAGTTCTAGACGAGTAGTAACTAGTACCCGGTACTTAAATTTATATTCCCAGCGGCATAGCAGCACCATAAGTGATTCAACTGATTTTGTTAAAATAGTTGTTAACATAAAAAAGTCTACATTCCGGTTTGATAACGCTAGCTAATCGCAAGCGTAACAATAAATTTACCCATTTCTAAATCCACGACTAGTGTTAGAACTTTACCTTGATGAACTGTTTATGCAGTCGTTTGACATGTTTTCCGAGTATTTTAGGGCTGGATAACCTCTCGCTACAATAGATACACATGTAAGTTGCATTCGATGCCTGAAGTTTACTGCCACTACTTTTAGTATTTGTACCCTTCTTCGCTTGCATTGACTTAAAGCACTTCTTCTTTTGGTGATAATAAAGTTGTTGAGAATTCAGGAAAACCGCTTCACATTCTTTACATTTAAACCGCGAATGACTGTTTTGGGCTGCTCTATAAAAAACGTCAATTTTAAAAAAGCTATTTTGAAAGTAAATTTTCAGTTCAGCTGAACTCACCTGACCTATGTGTAATCATGTGACTCTCATAGTAACGGTAACTCTTAAAAAACCGGCTGCAAACTTCACAGACAAAATCCCACTTCACTTTTCTTCTATTGAGTTTCTCAAGGGGGTCCGAGCTCTCGCAGTGGTGTGATGAAATGTGGATAGCCAGGTCTGGTAGCAGTTTGAAGAAGCGTCTGCACTTAGGACATATGTTGGTTGCCTCTGGTACTAGATAGTCTGGATGATGCCGCATTAGGTGGAAGTGACATACCCGTTCACTCAGGATAATCATATCACACACATGGCACAAGAAGCGCTGAAACAGCAAGAGCATTTGTAGAAATCACGAAACAACAGAGAGATCCTCATGAACAATAGTCAAATTATTATTCTTGTTGTTTTAGCCCCGTGTCGGGTTGGACTTGCCCGTCTCCAAGTCTAGGAACTTCGTAGCATCTAACGGCCGAAGCCACAGGTTGAAAAGGTGACAAGTAGCGTGGGGTCCAAGGGAGCATGTTGGGAACAGAAGGGAAAGGGAGCTGTCTAGTCCGGAAAGATATCTGTTCAAAAGCCGCCTATAGCCGGATTGGAGTTGGGAGAGCTTACAGCGGGTATTTCCAGGGAGGCATTGTTCCGAGGAGTCAATTATGGGTGGAATGGTACAAATAACCTTATAGGGTGGGGCTTCTTTATTTTTTAAATTGTTCTCACAGGAATTTAAAAAGTACAAACCTTGAAAACCGTTGAAGATGAAGGCAGAATGACTAAAACAAAAACGCTAAATAACAATTGAAGTAGCATTTATGAAGTTGCACTGGAAAAGACTGAAAATTGAGATCCCAACGACTACGTAAACTTTTTACAGTGCTTATTTAAACTAACTGGAAAAAACTATCAAAATTTGCAACTTCAAACTAGTTTTTTCCATATTGGGTTAAGGTTAAACAAAAAGGGGAACAAAAGTTGTGCGAATTTCATCATAATTATTATGGTGCAATTCCTTTTTCAAAACTCGCGACCAAAATTTTACCACAAAAATGAGTCATTTTGGCTTTTTTAGTTAATCCGAAATTACGCTGAAACTACCGCATTAATTGATGAAAAACTTTTAGCAAAAAACCTCTAACACAGCCCAACAAAGTTTCAGCAAGGCAACATCCTCAAAAAATTGCGGAAAATGTTCGAAATTTCTTTTTCAGCAAAGATTTTGAATTCTATATTGTAAAAATGACCATTTTTGGCTATCAAGCAGAAATATATTCACCTATACAAACTTTTGACGATTTGACTGTGCTAAAACTTTGCTGGACTGAGTAACAGTCTTTTTTTGATAAAAAATTTATCATGAATTAGTGCGGTGGTTTCATCATAATTCTCAACTAACTCAAGTCAAAATGACGTTTTAGGGTAAAAATTTGGTTACGAATTTCAAAAAACAAATTGCACCATGAAAATTCTGGTGAAAATCCCACCAAATTTTGCTCTCTTTAATTTGTCTTAACTTATCTTAATTTGAGAACAACGCGTTTGAAGTTTCAAATTGTTGTTCGTTTTGTACAGATAATTTAAATCAGCACTGTATTACGTTATAAGTAGATTTAATTCCAAGAATTCAAAATGCACAAACATTGTATTGGCGCGAACTCTTCCGGCAACATACGAGCTGGCTCAGATACGGCCTTTGAATTTCTTTTCTTCGTTTTCGATTGTTCTGAGTCACAGACGTGTGCTTCAAGGTCATCTAGAGATGGAAAATTTGAACCACACACATCACACTCGAACATCGTAACGAGAAAAAGCTTTTGCGGGTTGAGATCATTTTCCATTTGATGAACTAGCCTTTCATGTAACGCCAGTAAACAGTCGTCTTCAAATCTCAATTTACAGCTAATGCAGTCTTTCTGAGCACCAATTGGATTATTTTTTGAAACTACTTTCCGTCCTCTCGCTCCAGCGGCCGTAATTCGACAGTTTGTTATTTCTGTAACAGCGTTTATAATGTCACGTCTGATTAAAGGTCCAGTTTTGTAGCTGAAATTAACATCCAAGTCTGAGAGATGGTCGACCAAATGATTCACAAAACTGAACTTCGTGTTATGAGAACTTCCACAAACAAAACAATGGTAGTCAGCACCTCCGAAAGGTTCTGGAATCTTTTTTTCATTCGGTTTAGCATCGCAACTGCGCTGGTGTCTTCGAACTAAAGGGTTATTCGAAAAATTCAGATCGCTAGATGAGCCGCTTCCACTCATATTCTAGCTTTTAAAGTCCTTTCATATTTTGCAACTGAAATGAGTCAAGTAATTCAACGGAGATTTTTTTAAGCAAACTAAGCGCAGTGATATAACAGGTGAAAAAATGAAAGCAGACCGAGCACAGATTGTCAGCTTTCTCAAACATTACCTTTTAATCGTTAGTATTAGTTCTTTAAATTATTAACTCTAAAATCAGACAATAAAATTCTTTATTAGTTTATCAGTGTCATTTTCTGAAAAGTTTTCTCCAACAATATTTCGAGCGAATGGAATTTTTCCGAACATATTCCAGCACACTACGCCAACAATCTTCTTCGCCTCCCGATCACTAGGGTCTAAGTAGAACAAAACTCCCTCGCTTAGATCCAAATCTGATTGTACTTCTTTGCCTGATTCTACGACCACAAACGAGTTTCCTTGTTTAAAATAAGCTTTCACGGGAAGTTTTGAATCTACAAGGCCAATTGCTTCGTAACCGTAACTGTCACCAAAGTCGCCCCAAAACATTGACTGATGATGAAACGCCTCAGGACTTTTCGAAGCATTTCCATTATTTATCCCCTGTTTCTCATTACATGAGTTCGCAGACGATAACATGTTCTTCGCAGCAAGTTTTCCGCTAACAACTGCGTGATCATGGTGTTCAACTCTTCTTCTGCATTTCATTTTGGTGTCATAGAATGAACATGCATCGCCGGCTGCCCAGATATCTGGCGCGGAAGACTCCAGCTCACTGTTTACGAAGAAACCGCCTAGTTTTTTATCCACCTCGAGACCAGCTGAGTCCGCTAGTTGAGTGCTCGGCTCTACTCCAATGGCCACAATTACATGATCTGCTCTCACCTTTTCACCATTCGTAAGATCTAATTCCATCGCATGGCTTTCATCAAAAAGGGCGTTAACCGATTTCAGGCGAGTTTTCTCTCGAAATTTGACACCCATAGATTTAACCTTACTCCCAATCCATTTACTTAGAAATTCTGGTAAGACTAAACCCATGTAGCCCGATTCGGGTATGATTTGAACTACTTCAATGTTTTTGTCACGCAGTGCGGCCAAAGCTATAGACAGTTCACAGCCAAGATAACCGCCTCCAATCACAGCAACTTTGCTATTCGGTCTCAACTTAGCTTTCAGCTGTTTGAAGTCTTCGACCGTCCTGAAAACACTGTGATTTTCTCGCACAATGTGGCTTGGATGCTTATTAAGAAGATCTAAATCTTTTGGACAAGCTCCTGTAGCTAGCAGACATTTGCTGAACTGTATAACTTCCCCTGAGCTCAAAACAGCTGTCTTTGACGCCGCATCAATTTTCACGACACTTTCATCGCATTTCAGCTCAACGTCAGGATGATCACTGTAAAAAGACTCGTCTTTGTAGAGTATTGATTGTCTTTTTCCATCAAAATTTGTAAACTTTAGGTCATCACTTGAGCTCCATAGCTGTTTCGATAACGGAGGTCTCATGTATGGAGCATGATGTTCTGCAGTTACCATTAGAATATTCCCCACACAATTTCGGTCAGCTTCATCTTTCAGCACTTTTATTGCTGCGAAAGCTGCAGTGCCTCCTCCAACAATAAGAAAATCGGCCTTTTTTAGATTTCTGTAGTCTTCAGCGTCAATTGAATTTCAAGCTTATTTCTATTACATTTTTTTTATAAAAAAAACTTTGTTTTCGTATTAGCGCGATATCCAGACATTCAAAATAACGCACCTCCGGTGCTTAAAAATTTTAACAACTCATAGAAAACCGTAAATATTGGAAATAAAATCTGCATCTTTTGAATGTATTCTGACAACACAATGAGGGTTGGTAATTTCGAGTTAGAGGGTTGGTAATTTCAAATTTTATAAAAAAAAGATTCAAGTTTTTTTAATTCAAATTTTTAAAAACCATAAAGTTTTTTATATCTAAGTTTTCAAAATTATTTTAAGAAATCACATCTCGGAATCTAAAAGCAATTGAGCAGTCGGATTTGCACAAAAGATTTGCAACTCTTGAGAGTACTTTTATAGTGCCCAACTACAACGTCGGGAAACTTCACTTAATTTTCCAAAAAAAATTTTAAAACCAGAAAAAACGTCACATCTCAAAAACTATCAAAATTGGAGCAATCTCATTTGATGGCAATAGTCGCAATCCTTGACAGTACTTTGATGGCGATAGTCGCAATCAAAATTGGAGCAATCTTATTTGATGGCAATAGTCGCAATCCTTGAAAATTCAGAAAAAATCACAAGTATCGCCGAATTTCGTAAGCTAAAAAGATTTGGGTATTCTTAATTGGAGGCCAAAATCTAACCCTTGAGATTACTCTGACAGCCCCCAACTACAGGTTAGCAATTTCAAATTTTGAAAAAAAGTTTTAATTTCATATACCAACTAAAGATTTGAGCACTCATATTTGGAGGCAAGATTCACAACCCCTGAGAATACTCTGCCAGCCCCCGCTACAGAGTTGGGAATTTCAATTTTCAAAGAAAAATTAATTAGCTTCTCTGAAAATTTTAAGAAAAAATCACAAAAAACGTCATACCTATAAAAACTACTAGGTTTTAAGTTTTGGGCAGCCATATTTGGAGACAAAATTTGCAACTCCTGAAAGTACCCTGACAGAGCTTCACTATAGAAAGGCGAACTTCAAACTTTTCATTTAAAAAATTAAATTAAATTTTCTGAAATTTTTTGAAAAAATCCTTAAAAACATCCCAAAGTTAAAGAAAATTAGCAGTCAATATCAGAGTCAAGATTTGCAAACCCCGAGGGTACACTCACAGTTTCCAATGACGGGATTGAGATTTTCAACCTTTCAAGCAAAATTTTAAAATCTACGTTTTTCTGAAAATTTTTGGAAAAAATCATAAAAACGTCATATCTCGGAAACTACAAAGACTTGACAAGTGAGATTTGGAGGCATGATTCGCAATTCCTGAGAGTACCCTGACAGCACCCAACTACAGGGTCAGAATTGCAAAAATTGAGACTCAAATTAAATTTTCTAGAAATTCTTGAAAAATCTCAAAATTGCCTATCTCGGAACTTTAAAGCATTTGTAATTCAAATATGGAGGCCTAAATTGCAGCACCCCGGTAAAGCCTGACATCATCCTACTATTGGTTTGCTAATTTCAAACCTGGTGAGATAAACACTGAATTGAAAAAATCTTAACCATTGCAATATAGGTTAAACGTGAAAAAAAACTCTTTTGTTAAACATACAAAAATAATACGTTGAAAAAGCTTAAGCATGGCGAGATAGTGAAGCCCGCATTCAAATATATAATAGATAGATAATAGATTTCTGTTATGAATTGTGCATTGATGTCTTTCACTAAGCGAGTTCCATGAAACAAAAACAAAAAGCCAATTTTTCACTTGCATGTAGACATCGCCGAAGGTTGGCTGCAGTGGCTACGGATAACATAGCATAGCTTACGATAAACAACACATATATCAGAGCTAGACTACATTAGTCCCGGTAAAGCAACAAAAACAACCTTTTTCCAACACATGAATCAGGTTGAAGATTAAGCTATCTGAGAAATTTAGAAAAAGAACATTTTTTGATAGCGAAGAAAATAAACTTGATAAAGATAACGGCTTGAAAACAATCTGGCTTTTCCATCAGGGTCAAGATTGGGGTCTTCTGTTGTCTCAGACTTAGAGTCTGTGATCTGATTACCATGAGTCAGTGATCTGAGTGAGTCAGTGGCTGCGATAGGAGCCAAAGCGCTCAGTGCTGAAATTGCTCCAACCGACAAACGCCACCTTCTCCACATATGTAAAACTGAAAAAGTTCAATTTAACGATAACTCTATGAGCGCTATTGTAGCGGAAGGACGGCTACGACAAATTAACATTACGACGATGCAATTAATGCTGATATATGACTTCAATGATAGTTTGCTGATGTATATGCAGTTTTTATAACAATATTATGGCCCTATCTAGCTTGTTCATTGACCGTAGCAAAACGGAAGTGCCCTTTTTGTAATACTGAAGCACAGAGAAATGGTTCCTCTAAAAAATAAATTGGAAAGCGATTTCTGTTTATTTTTAGAGTAATCAGAAGGTCAAAAGTATCATAGTAATCAGAAGGTCAGAAGTATCATAGTCCCTTCATCGTGTATTTGTGACATTGGATCAGAATGCCGTCAAAATGCATGGCGACTTCGAATTTTTAATGTGACCGTGAACAGGAAAAATTGGCGGTTTTGGTAGATTAGTAGTGTTGATCTGACGATTTCACGAATCGTGAATGGTCATTTTGGCGTGACTTAAGAAACTTTCCAAAATAAAGACACGTCACGACCTTGAAATTTCGCGACAACCGAAAATGAGAAAAACACAACAATATCTCTCTTTATTTTTTTTTTTTTTTTTTTTTTAAGGTAATCAGAAGGTCAAAAGTATCATAGTAACCGAGGTTACAGTCATGAGTCCCTTCATCATGTATTCCAGTCAAAATCCTTGGAATTTTCTAGATATGGAAGTGATAATGATAAAAGAAGATGTCAAGTGTTTAAGTCCTTTTCATTTAAAATCGATACGGGTTACGCTTCTTCAATAAGAACACGCAACTCGACACGAGATAATATAATATACAAGTGTTACAAGTAAAAAATTTCGTCGAAAGTTATTTTGTCATTTATTGTTCCGAGTACGCAAGCGGCGTTCGCAATCTGTATTGCCAGGGAGATTCTCTGTTTTAAAAAGCTGCCTGCTCTGGGTTCCTCAGTGCATATGCTTAGGTTCTTACAAAGCTTGCTCAAAAAAACTTCTGTGCTGGGGCCGGCCGCGCCCTGAATTTCAAAAGCTAGCGGTTGAAAAAGATATCCATCATTTACAAGATCTTTATATTTGTCAATTTTTCGCTCTTCCGCTTCAGCGGCAGCCGTACCAGGGTTACAAACAGACCCGGCATTAATCCTACAAGGGGCTAAGGAGTCTACTACCGTTACATCCCACAAGAGCTGCTTACCATCAGCCCATGGAACGAGCGTCAAACCGTCTGGTCGCTTCTGATCGATCCTGTAGAGGTGTCGTGGTTCTAAAACAGACGGAATGTGAGTAGATGATAGACTCTGCTTTATAAGGGCATTCAGGTTTGAATGCCTAGAGAATCTCCCTGCACTTTTGAGGCAAGAAAGACCATGCCAACCATCCTCGGTAACGTCTTTTCCGCACACGCATTTATGCCGTTCGCATATTTTTGATCCTAATCGAAGTCCTATCGCAATTCTGAGTTGTTGGTTCGACAGTTTTAACCTTAAATTTTTGCAGGGGATGACGTTCAACCATTGGGATCCAAATCTATCTTGGAACGCGTTGAACCTTTTCACGTCCGTTGGTTCGTGTCGTAAAATCAAGTCTGCAATTTCGCTGTCAAAAATTGGCTCCGTCCAATTTTTTTGGATTTCATTTTCCGGAGCCATTTCAATTTTTCCAAGGTCAAACCACCGTTTAAGCGCATCATCATAGGTTCCATCCACATGCTCCAAACCAAAGATTTCGCTCAAGGCATCTTTCGCTCCTACTGCTGAGGCTAAGAAAGCGGGTAAAGCGAGTAGACGAGCGGAAGAAACGCCCAAGCCACCTTTGGCTGCCGGGAGAACTGCTTGTAAAAACTGGTTATCATCCATTTTCACGTTAGTGACCTTGCATAACGAATTTCTTAGTAATTTATCGTAGCGTTCCAAAAAATCATTTTGCAAAAAACAAGGGCTCGTACGCAAAAAATATAGGAGTTTTGGCATGCTAAAGCAATTTTTCAGGAGGTAAAAACCATAATGGGCGTCTAGTTTGTCAATGACATCCGAGATTTTTTCAAGCTCCCTAATTTTTTCGTCGAGTAATTCTTTTCGGCAAAGTTCGCCGATTGGAGATCCTAAAATGAGGAGTTCTTCTTTTGTTTTTATTTTTATTTTGGGGCATATTTTTCGAAATTGTGTTAAAATTGAATTATACTGTGTACTAGTAGTCGGTCCCAAAAAACAAAGTTCACACTTCTCAGTGTTTAAGCTCAGGCCGTAAATTTGTTCCGATTTCAGAATATTTTTAAGGTCCCGGAGTACTACCTTATAGTCGTCGGCTAAATTCCCATCATCTAAATACCAGATGTTAATTTTCGACTCCAACTGTTTGACTAGTGTATGAATTGTTTCCGCAAAAAGGGGTGGGGCTTCAGGATCACCTTGCTGAGTTCCGTCTTCTGACATTATGACAGAGCTTCCGTAAAAAAGGTAACTAGGTTTAGCATACGCGCAATGGGTGTAATTATATAATTCGGGGCGATCTGAAAAAACATGATTCAGCATTGTTTCTCTGTTTAAAGTGTTAAAGGCATTCTTAAAATCTAGTTTTAAAAGAACAGTACATTTTGGATTGTCGTCGCGTTCAATTAGGTTTCGAAACGAGTGCGCAGCTATTTCTGCTCCTCGTTTGGTACCGCATCCTACCTGTACGTTTCCGAAAAAATTTTGTCGCTCGGAGAGGGCCTTGCTTCCAGCGCATTTAGACGCGATACGTCTCAGCGTGTTGCCTATGGCAATCGGTCTCAACCCTCCGTCTATTTTTATGAGGGCGATAAGCTTTGCGCCAAAAAAGAAAGGTCTTAGTGGTTCCGGTATTTTGCCATCTCCAATGAGGTTTATCAGCTTAGTAAGCGATTTCAGAAAATTAAGTCCTGCACTGCCATTCGACTTACTAACAAGATCTTTAAAAATTTGAGGAAATATTTTATCAGGACCTGCTGCTGATCCGTTTGGAAAGGACATTATCGCTTTGTATAGGTCAAAATCGGTTACGAAAAAACTATCCAACTTTTCTGGATTTGGAGCTGCAAATTTGGCTCGCTGCGGGTGCTTAGATAACAATTTTTGATAGTTATCAGTTGAAAAAGGAGCTATTTTGTCATCCGAAGCAGCAAGCCTTATTCCTCCCTTTACATTTCCTTCATCGAGCTTACTACTTATTAACTTTATTCTCTGCTCGAGGTCACTCAGAGGCGGGCTTGAAACTTGGGGATGGGGTTTTGGAAGTGACACGTCATTTGCTCGAATTTTTTTATTTATCAAAGAGCTCATGCTTGTGGTCTGTTTGCGTCCACTTCTTTTCGGTTGCTCCAAAAAAAACAAGAACGACGTTAAAAAAATTAGCCATTTTGTAACATCTTCTACATTGTAGACGATGTCATTTATTTTGTCCGACAGATTTTCCGCCAAGGGAACACGCGAGTCTTTTGGTACTCTCTTGAGTACTCGGACATTTGAGATGGTTGTATTAACATAATTGTCTAGCACTAAATCATTACCTATTGTTGCTTTATTAACAGATATTACATCAACGCATAAAGGACACTGAAACCATTGGGTTTTCTTAGAGTCGCTAAGAGAAATATTTACACAACTGATATGATACCAACTAGAACAACAATCACATTTAATCCAATTTATCAGTCCTGAAGGTTTTAAGCAATCTTTGCTTGTACACTCTTTGTTGTTTTTCCTCATCTTGACGCAGCATAAAGGTAAAAAAAAGGATTTTGACTGGATTTTAGGGGACTGAACTAACCCATGATAAGCGGTTAGTGGGAATTTTACAAATCAGCAAATAAAAAAAAAAAAGACAACTAAATTAATTTAAAAGGTTAAAAGGCAGCATAAAGGTTAAAAATCAAAAACAAGGAACAATCTCACCCGAGCTCAGTAGGTTCAGCGGCGCACCACCAGACTTCTCAAGCCAGTTCCAGTTCCCCACCTCCCCACAGAAAGCCACTTGACAGACCTGTCTCTAAAATCCCTCAGAGGGCGCTCCACATACAGGCACAAACATCAAACATAACAAATCTATTTAATAAGTTTATCACAACAATTAGGCTAAAAGGTGAACAAGCCTACGAGGTGAACAAGCCTACGATACAGATTAAAATTGCAAATGAGATTATTGTTGGAATTCCATTCCGAGTTGTAACGATTGTGCAGCTACAATTGTTACAAAGCAATTCCCGAGAATCAGGAAGGGTGTTGGAACGCCGTGACCAGCCTTCCGGAGAAAAGATAAGACTGTTCTTTGTCCGGATTCCAGAATCCAGAAGGGTCTCGAGAAGAGAACTCAAATTCTATTTTAACAACTTTTAGCTTCCTGGAATGTCCTGAATTGGATTAGTAACATCTAAATTCGTTTTCAGATAATAAGAAGCTAGGAGTTGAGGGCAGGGATTTCAATACAATATCAATATATTGAGCTCAATATCAATATCTTCCATTCAATATCAATATCAATATCAAATAGGATGAAATTTCAATATCAATATCAATATCAATATCTAAAAGCTCAATATCTCAGTATTATCACTATTTTAAGATACCTGAGACCAAATTCAATATTGAATTTCGAAATATATAATTAAATTTGTTTAGTTTTTTTTGCAATGTAATTGTTTTTTGTTTAATTTGTTTAATTTTAATGCTTGAGTGAGTTGAGTTGACTGTTTGACTTAGTCAGTCCATTGAGTTATCTTGAATTTCTTTTGGTTTTTTTTCACAGAAATGCCTCACGTTTCAAGCAATGATACAAAATCCGTTTTTCTCAATATCTACAAAAAATTCAATATCAATATCAATATCTAGCCTTCAATATCTCAATATTAAAAATTCAATATTGACATCGTCTCAATATTCAATATCTGATCATTCAATATATTGCAATCCCTGGTTGAGGGAAAGGGTTGATCCATCTCCAATGGGAATGATGATTTTTATCTACTGAACAAAAAAGTGGTT